AAACTGCGTTTCCGTGCGCTGCTCTGGTTCGCCAGAAGTGGCTTAGTCATGCTGGCCACATGACCTGGAAGCTGTACGCCGGCTCCCTCGGCCAATAAAGCGAGATGAGCGTCGCAACCCCAGAGTCGGTCACGACTGGACCTAATGGTCAGGGGTCCCTTTACCTTATATTAATAAACAACAGCTAAGTGATGAAAAATTGGTAAGAAGTGACTGTAATATTGCATTCCCCTCCCCCAATAGGGAGGAAACCTAATTTATTTCAAATGAGTTGGGTTTTAGGACTCGTAACTTTCTTCAGAAATGTATAACTGCCTTTTTCCTGTTTTAATGCGAGCCAAAGGTCTGGAGACCCTGCTGGTCTTGCCCAACCCACCATCCTATCCTTCTACTTGTCCATCAGCAGCCTTGCCTGCTTCAGTCACTTCCAATAGTCACTTATTTTGTGGGCTTACTCACTAGTCCCTATATGTAGCCCCCCTTTTCCTATTGCCTTTGTGATGCATTTTCCTGAGTGGATAAGGCTAACCCATCACACAGGCTATAGAAAAATGTTTAGCCACCCACAAATCTAGACAGTTGGGACCATTCTGTGGCTGAGAACTTTTTTAACAGGTATTTTTCTGAACATCACATTAACTCACCTTAGGAAGTCCTTAACAGCGTGTGGACATTTTTGCTTATGCAATGGAGCAGCAGGAATCACAGTTGTTTCTCACCCCTTCCACATGTCTGTGTTGGTTTCTATTTCCTTCACTGAGCAGCAACTGCAGTCACAAGACAGGTGTTTACATTCCACAGTCTGTACTGTTGGAGTTTCTCACGGGAAAGGGAGACTGGATGTGACGTACACTGGTTTCCTGTTTTTCACTGTGTGATTCTCTCCAAGCTGTCGCGGAGAGAGGATGCATTTTTCTGCTCTTGCAGAGGCAAGATGTCTTTCTGTAATATACCAGCTTTGAACTGTAAATAAAAGCAATATAGAGTATGCAGCACATTTTCCTCATCCTTCCGTTGGCAACAAGACTCTGCTTAAATCAACACGTGGTTATGGACTCCAGAGGTCGAATCGCAGTGCCGGCAAAGGATCGGAATGCAGAGGAACGGATCGGAAAGGAATCTGCTCTGCGCGTAGAAGTGATTGATGAGGTATGTGCTACTGCTCCGGGCATCCTGCCAGCTTCAAGATAATGGCTTTATGGCTGGACTTTGAACTTTTAAAGCCGGTTTTGCCGGGAATAGGCAAAAGGCTCCCAGGCACAAGTCACTATGCTGGGGAAATCGAAAGTAACTTTTAAGTGTGCCTTTGTAATGAGGCAGCTGCAGCAGTGACGCAGCAAGATTTAAAGCAGCATATGACGCTGAAGGCTAATGCCAGAGTCATGATGGCCCTTCAGGATGCTTGTGGGATTCCTAAGCTCAACAAGAATAATTACAGCGACTGGGTTCAGTATGCAGAGGCAATTCTGCGGAAAGAGGGTTTGTTTGAGGTGATTACAGAAACCCCCAGTTCCAGTTACAGATGCATGGGAAGCTAAGGATTCCAAAGCAAGGGGAACTCTTACATTGATAGTATCCCCAGAAGAGCTCTGTCTATTGCGTGATAAGACCTCAGCCAGAGAAATTTGGGACGCTCTGAGAGAGGCTCACTTAAGGACAGAAGCTGGATCCACTATGTATTATTTTAACAAGCTGCATAATATGGCTCTTGCTGAAGGTGGAGATGTGCGTTTACACCTGATGGAGATGCAAAATCTGAGACATGAGCTGCAACAGAGAGGACTCAACTTTCCAGAGGCTGTGTATTCTTTCATGATACTACAATCTTTGGGTTCAGGTTGGGAGTCTGTTGCAACCCAGATTGCTGTGCAACCAACTGCTCAGCTGACAGTGGACTTTGTTACTGCCGTGATTTTAAATGAAGCAGATCGCCGGGTGCTAGCTGCATGGGCAAGGGAGAGTCTTCACAGACGTCATCCCATAGTGCAGTGGAACCACCAGATGGCGCCAAAGCTTTGAAGGCAGTGAAATGCCACTCGTGTGGACGTCTAGGCCATATGAAGAGGGAATGCAGACATCCCAGGGCCAAGACAGAGCAGCGCAGCGAGAGCTCATCGCGCGGAAAAGGCCGAGGCAAAGGCAAAGGTCCGGTGTCTAGGACAACGCAGCACAAGGCTATGGTTTCACGCTTCACTCCAAAGGTTGCAGAGGTCCAGAAGACGTCTAGATCTTTCTTCGTTGTTGATTCAGCGGCGACCCACCACATGTGCAACGATAAGAAACTGTTTGTGTCTTTTACACCGCAGGAAGGTGCGATTCACCAGGCGGATGACCACACTATTCCCAGTAAAGGCTACGGAACTGTTGTTCTTCACAGTTTGGACTTATCGATACAGAATGTGCTTTACGTGCCAGACGCCAAACATAATCTGCTCAGCGTTGGACAGCTGAATGAGCGGAACATTGACGTTTCCTTCAAGAACAAGAAGTGCATCATCACAAAGAAAAATGATTATGTATTGCATGCAGAATATGTTGATCGTTTGTTTGTTTTGTATTATGATGATGTGGTGCAGGATGACACTTGTTGCATTGCAGGTTCTAACAAAAGTTTGCATGCAGAATGTATTCACGCTTTTCATCGAAAATTTGGTCATTTGCATTTTGAGGCAGTATCTAAAATGCCTGCCTTGGTTGAAGGTATGACTATTAAACCCTGCAGGTACCACATGAAGTGCAAAGCATGCGCAGCAAACAAAATGAAAATGGCTGCGAAAGGTAAGGTGTCTAGTAGGAAAGCTACAGAACCATACCAGGTTCTTCATGCTGATTTGGTTGGACCACTAACGCCCTCTTTGGGTGGAAATAGATACTTCATGGTTCTCATTGATGCATTTTCTAGATATATTTTTGTGTACAATCTCAAGCAGAAGTCGGAGGCTTTTCCTAGGTTCAAGGAATTCTGTGCTTGGTTGGAAAATGTGCATGGTAAGAAGATAAAGACTCTTTTCAGTGATCGCGGGGGGGAATTCACTTCTCAGCAGTTTGAAGCTTTTCTGACTGAGAAAGGAATTCAACACGATTTGTCTAGTCCTCGCTCGCCATGGCAGAATGGACTTGCGGAACGGGCAAATCAAACATTGCTTCAAGGATTAAAAACCTTGCTGCATGATGCCAATCTTCCAGAGAGTTATTGGGCCGAATCTCTCTCGTGTTTTGTTTACAGTTACAATCGCAGATTATCTTCAGCGATTGGATGTACCCCCTATGAGAAGATGTTTGGCAAGAAGCCATACATCAAACACATGAAGATTTTTGGTTCTGACATGTGGGTTCGCTCACCACAAAACTCCAAGTTAGACAAGCGTGGATTGCATGGTATCTTTCTAGGTTATCAGAAAGGGTCTTACAGAATAATGATGACTGACTCTAAGACAATTAAGCTCACGAGAAGTGTTGAGTACAATGCAAAGTGGGGGAGAATGTGGGAATTTTCCAATGTTATCCTGATGACGGTGATGAGACTGAGGATAGTCAAAAGCAACCACAACAGCCCACACCCACTGATGAAGGTTCTGAGTCTGAATCTGAAACTGAATCGGGTGATTCAGAGGATTTCGAGAGTGCGAAAGCCTCTATGCGACCCTCTGAAAGCTCTGATCAAGAATTGGAGGAACCATTGTTCACGATAGGTCGTTTTTCTCCTAAGAAGGAAGAGGAGAGTGTTGAAGACTTAAGGCTAATTCGTAGGTCACAGAGAGCCACAAAAGGCAAACCTCCAAAGAGATTTGCTGATGAGTTTGCTAAGATAGCAGTAACAGCTGCTAAAAGCTCCAAGAAGGTATTTGAACCTTCAAGTTTCCAAGAAATCCAGGGTTTGGATTCAAAGGAAGCTAAGCCATGGTTAAATGCCATGAAGGCTGAGCTTGATTCCTTAGAAAGGAACAAAACATGGGAGCTAGTTCCAGTAGTTCCAGGAATGAAACTGCTTGGAAGCAAATGGGTCTTCAAAGCGAAGACAGATCAAAATGGCAAGATAGTCAGACACAAAGCCAGATTGGTAGCCAGAGGTTTTGCACAGGTACCAGGTGAAGACTATCACGAGACCTATTCACCCACAGTGAGATATGAAAGCATTAGGCTTATGCTCAAGCTAGCTGCAGAGGAAAATCTACACATTAGTCACCATGATATTAATACAGCTTTTCTGTACGGATCTCTAGAAGAATCACTTTATATGCTTCCACCTGATGGCGTACAGGTAAAACAGGGATTTGTTTGTGCTCTGAAGAAATCCCTTTATGGTCTCAAACAAAGTGCACGGTGTTGGCACACAAAACTCACTGAAGTATTGTTTTCTCTAGGTTTTCAGCAAGGGAAAGCTGATCCATGTGTATTTGTCAAAGAGGAGGGGCAAAAGAAACTGTACTGTTTGTTTTATGTTGATGATTTATTATTCTTTTGGAAAGATGTTGCAATGTACAATAGCGCCCTAGCTCAACTGAAAGAGCACTTTGACATGAAAGATCTTGGTGAGGTAAACAACTACCTATCTCTGGAAATAGAGAGAGATCAAGATGGTAACATTCTAGTACACCAGTCACGGAAAATTGCTGATGTGTTAAGCAAACTAAATCTGATGGATGTTAACCCTGTAGACACACCGATGACAACAGGTTATCAGGTAGATGACACTGAAGAAGCATTTTCTGACACTACACTGTACAGGAGTGTGCTAGGCAAGCTAAACTTCATTGCCAGATGTTCAAGACCAGACATTGCTGTTAGCTGTAATTTGCTAAGCAGACAAGTCAACAATCCTAGTGTCAAGGATTGGAAAGCTCTGAAACGCATAGCGCGGTATTTGAAAGGCACTATGCATTACAGACTGAGATTTAACAATCAGAAGTCTGGTGGTCTTGAGATATTTGCAGATGCAAGTTTTGGAAGTGACGCTACAGACAGGAAAAGTACGTCTGGAGTTTGCTACATGTACAATCAGGGTCTGTTTGATTGGTCATGCAAGAAGCAAACAACAGTTAGCTTAAGTACTTGTGAAGCCGAACTGAATGCACTGTCTTATTCACTTAAGGATTGTGAATGGTTAGTACAATTGTGCAAAGATATGAAAATTCCTGTCAAATGTCCAATCCAGGTTTACCAGGACAACAAAGCATGTTTGGCTTTGCTGAAGTCTGAAGGTTGTAAGCAAAGCACAAAGCACTTGCAATTAAAGTTGCAGCATGCTAGGGAATGTATTCAGAAAGGACTCGTAACGGTGTCCTATATGCCAGGTAATGAAATTCCTGCTGATGTATTGTCCAAGATTGTATCAAGGGATCAACACTGTACCTATGTGCAGAAGTTGGGTTTGTACTGATATTGTGCAAACACGCTGCCCAGTGATGTTCACAGAAAGGGGGAGGATGTTGGTTTCTATTTCCTTCACTGAGCAGCAACTGCAGTCACAAGACAGGTGTTTACATTCCACAGTCTGTACTGTTGGAGTTTCTCACGGGAAAGGGAGACTGGATGTGACGTACACTGGTTTCCTGTTTTTCACTGTGTGATTCTCTCCAAGCTGTCGCGGAGAGAGGATGCATTTTTCTGCTCTTGCAGAGGCAAGATGTCTTTCTGTAATATACCAGCTTTGAACTGTAAATAAAAGCAATATAGAGTATGCAGCACATTTTCCTCATCCTTCCGTTGGCAACAAGACTCTGCTTAAATCAACAGTCTGACCTCCATAGCAGCTGGGGTCAGAAGGTGTGCTTCATATCCTGCAATTCAGGTATAATCTTGTGGTCTTTTTCATGTGTCACACACCCATTATGTATATGAATTTAGAAGGGGGAACACTTGGCGCTACCCTTACCATTCCTCCCCTCTAAGTGAATGTTTGCAAATAGGGATGGTGTCTCAACAAAATCAGACTGTATACCACTATGAGGCCTCAAACCTACCTATATAGACATCCATTTTCTAGGATTGGTTTTTGCCGTATTGAGTTCTGGCCAAAGCTGTATAGCTACATATCAAAATTTCTAAGGATTACCAATCTATGAAGCAAGAGGTGTTGGGAATGGGATGGCTCAAGATTTGCGATTTTCAGGATTACTGGGAAGAACTGTATTCAGTGGGGCTTACACCACAATCCTAACCATCACTTCAAAGTCCTATTGAATTTAGCGGGGTTTATTCCCAGGTAGATAGGGTTAGGAGTGCAGCCTTACTCCTTGGTAAGTCTGCAACCCTAAAATTAGGTAGTAAGCCCCACTGAGCTCAACCAAACCTACTTTCGAGTAAACATACTATAGATTGCGCTGCATCTCTTTAAAAAAGCAAGGTCGGGCTGAGATAGTTTTTTGTTTTTATTTAAACCGCAATCGCTGCTACAATCCCCACACGCCCGGAAAGCCCTCCTCCTCCTCCTTTAATTTATAGCATTTTAAAAAGGGCGGCTGCGGGTTGAGCGCGCTGCTTCCACCAGCCGCGACCGAGACCTCTTTCGATAATAGGGCAGCGCACAAGTTGAATTAAACATAAACTTCCCATGATGCGGGTGGGAGCTCAGACTCGTGCTAACACGAGGTGTAGTGTCTCCTGCTAACTGCAGCCTAGCATTGGCTTCGGCTAACGGGAGGTTTTAGGCAAGGCTTGTTGGGACTCCGAGTGTGGAGAGACGCCGGAGCTCGGGGAGGGGAGTTTGGGCGCGCTCTCGTCCGCCTCGAGGACGGTGGGAGGAGCCGAGCGACCGGGGAGGCCGCCGGCGGGTCCCACCTGCAGTTGATGTGCGAGGAGGAGCGGCCAGGGCGAGGCGAGGCGACGGCCACTTTCGCTCGCTGCATGCCTGGCTCGTGAGAAGGAAGCCTCGGCGTCTCTTTCCCCGCGCGAGCGCGCCTTTTCCCCGGCTTGGCGTCCCCTGCCGCCTCGCCCTCTTCTTCCTTTGCTCTGCTTTCTCCGCCGCCTTGCCCAACTATGGAGACGTCCGGAGACGAACTGGGCGGCGGCAGCAACAGCTTCCCCGAGCCCACCATCGTGCAGCCCCCCGGGACCACTCCCCCGCCAGCCTACCCGGCCCGGGACCCGCAGCCAGCGGAGACGCTGCGCGTCGGGGAGGACGTGCAGTTCAGTGAAGAGCTGGAGGATAGAGGTGAGTCTTTGGGGCCAGTGACGTCTCCCCACAACATGCTTCTCCTCTCCCCCCCCCCGCAGAAACCAGGCTCCTGTCACGCGCCCATTTCTCTTCCTTTCCCGCGCGCGCCCTGCACCTGGCCGGCTCCCGAAAGATTCCTTAAGTTGGCGTCGAACAGGACCGACCCACCGCGAAGCCACGGCTCCCAGGCGACTCTCTAGGAAAGCCTTCTTTCAATCACCTCACCCCTATGGCCGGCTCCTTTCTACGCGCCTAGCACTTCTCTCTCTTTCTCTCTCGCCATCCCGGGTCCGGCCAGGTCTCTGCAGCCCACCCGCTCGCCTCTAGATCTCCCTCACGGACGTCCTAGCACTTTCTAATTTACCTCGCTGACCAATAAATCGCTACTCTTAACCCCACTAAATTCTGCCACGTCGCTCTTGTAACCAGCTATATCATGCCAAGACCCCACACTTCATCCCTTCTTATGCCTTTACCGCCCTTTCCTTCCTATAGACCCATTTTTGCCGTGCATCCTCCATTGCTGAATCCTGCCTCCTGTATTTCACCTTCCTCAGCCACCCCTGCTTCTCATACATCATCTATGGACCTCCCGTGGTCTGTCTCCTCCACCGCTAGCTGTTCTTTCCTCACAACTCGTCTGCTTGTCGTCCATTGTCTTATCACCTGCAGCAGCCATCTGAATGACCATTCTCAGTCCTCCTTGACCCTTCTTAATAGTTGGACTGTAATCTTAACTCTGCTTGCCTGGGAGTAAGTCCCATTGAATTCATTGGGACTTACTTCAGAGTAGACAAGGTTAAGCTTGTGCTGTTGGTTTGTCTTTCATATTTAATTCTTTCTCTCTCTACACAAACACACACACACCACACACACTTAACACAATCTATTTTGCCAACCTTGCAGTTAAATTCTTTGCTCACTCATTCTTTTTTATTTTAGAAAAGAAATGGAGCACTGACAGCCTTAAACAAAGAAACACCAGCCTTTTCTTTAGTGTTGAACCACCCAGTCTTCAAAATGCAATTTAAAATGCATTCACTACAATGCAGACAGGCGTCCCCATTGACTGCAAAGAAAGCATGTTATTTTACCCATTCCACACCCCTTCTTAGAAAGAAGGGGCATTCAGTCTATTGTCTCCCTAACAGGCACCTGCCAAGCACGTGCCTGTTCCATAGATTTGTGTGTTTTTCTTTCTCTGCATTCTTCCCATGGCATTCTGTTTCATCTGAAGCCAAGCAGCTCCCTGCCTGACTTGGAGCCTGCTCTTTGCTCTTCGTTCTCTGCAACTGTCCACAGTCCTTTTTCAGTTTCCGAGTTATAAAAAGGGATGATCCTATTCCCATGCAGCATTCTGGCTACAATCTTGTTGGATATGATGGGTCGCTGTGCTTCCATTTTTATTTTTATTTAATTAGGAGCCGCTCTTCTAAACGAAATAGTGATATTTGAAGGCCTTTTGCAGTGGCTTAGTCACTTTATAAGGATTGGGCAGTATATGCCAAGTTGGTCTATATTCAAGAGTTTGGGCTCAGGAATAGAGGGATCTTGATTCACCTGGGAATCATCTTCCCACTAAACATCTTCTATAGATGTAAGACGATGATGGTGAGAAGGAACAAAGGACCTAGTAAAAGATAATGGATGTATGGGGGAAATAAGACAAAGAACTCATAAGCTCATTCCTTGTCCCTCCCTTTCCATTGATAACAAACTCACAGGTCTGAGCTATTATTCTTTCCAAGGAAATGTTAGGAATAGTTTTTATTTTTTGCTTTAATCAATCAAAATGTCAATGAATTTATTCTTTTCTTTTTGAAATGCTAGGTCTGTAGGGTGTTTAGGTGCATTTTGATGGATCATGGACAAAGTATGAAGGTTTTGGCTTCAGCCTTTAGGGAAGCTTAGTCTTTTTCAGTGTCTAGTATAAAACAAAGTTGTGAGAGTCCCCTCTCTACTTTAGTTAGGATTCAGAGAATCTTTGTGTGTGACTACTGTATTTGGAATAAGAAAATGCATTAAAATTATTTTAGTTAATCTGAAATTTAAAAAGTCTGTGTAATACCAATTAAAGGAGCATATGCAAAAAACCAACTTCATAAATATATTGTCAGCAGGAGAGTTTCTTTGTATCAATTACAAATTATTTTTTACAGACAAATGGGAAAAAATATCAATTTAATAAAACACATCACATCTTTCATTACATGTACTAAAATATCAAATGCAGTAATCTTCAAATGTGAACATGACTTTATAATTATAATATAGGCTTTCTAGCCTTGTCTGTGTATAAATTAACCCAGGTATGTGCCACAGGAAGATTTGAAGTCACATTCTGGATGGGATTTGCACTCATGATATAAGTTGCAAAGGTCTAGCGTTACCTGTGAAACTATTTTCATTTTATGTGTTTGGCTGATAGATGCTTGTGTGCAATCCCCAAAGATTTTTCACACATACAAGCACAATATGTTTTAAGGGGAACAGTTTACCTGGTGACACATTCCTTTTTCCCCTGGAGGTAGTAAATTGTAAAACATTTGTCCAATTCTAATAGTATGTAAGATTCAAATATTTTAATGTAAAATGCATAAATTTTAATTCGAGTGGTGTTTAAACAATTTAGACTTGTACCATCTTTCAGAATCCAGTAGCAACCAAGAGCTGGTTTTAACTATTTTAACTATAATGTTATTAATTTTGCACCACAAATATGTGTTCTATTTTGGCGGGGCATAGATCCTCCTATTGCTCTTTTGGTATGGACCCCACTAATTCATTGGGGTTTTGTTAAGTCTGATCCTGTGATAGTTGGCTCATTTGTTGTCAAGAGTTAGCAAAATCCAACTGGAAATATTTATTCTATTCTTTCCAGAGATCACAGAGTGAACAAGACGAAGGGGGAGGGGAGCTTAATACATGAACACACCTGTTTTGTTTTATTTTGACTAAATTTTGCTAGAGCAAGTAAAGTCCTTAGAACTGAAATACACACAAAAAACCCAACAAGCTTGGGGAGATGGCTGCACAACAATGGCGTATGTTAACCTCTACTGCACCTGCTCTGATTTTCAGAAATGCATCATATCAGCACCTTTATTTTGCTCTTCTATCAAGCTGCTGCTTGGTTTGTGCATCTGTTTCACTGGCACCTTAAGCAATCTCTCCCCATGCTCTTTAAGGTTTGATCAGGAATTGAGTGTGTGAATGCAAAAATCTAAAGATGTCTGGTTATTTTATGATTGGCTCCAGGTTGCTCCAGGCAGCAATTGGTACTCTTTTTTTTTAACCTCCTGTGAAATACAAAGACAAACCTGAACCCATGCACCTGCTTTAGCATTATTTATGGTATATAAATAAGGTGAACAGGATTTCTCCTAAACGGGAAAAATACACAAGGAATTCCTGGTTTGGTTCTGAATGGACCTAATTTCTTTTTTTCTTTAAAAGGGGAATAAAACACAGCCCACACTGATTTCCTCTTCTCATTCCCTTACCAGGTTTACTAGAAAGCAGCACAAGACTAAAACCGCATGAAGCTCAAAGCTACAGAAAGAAGGCACTGTGGGTTTCATGGGCTTCCATTATTGTCACACTGGCTCTGGCAGTTGCTGCCTTCAGTGAGTATTGAACATATTTCAAATCTTTCAGCCTTTGTCTTGGCTACCTGAATGCTTAAAAAGCCATACACTGTGCTGCTGTGTGCTTTTATATAGCTCTGCTACTGAAGTGACTTAGAGAAGGCTTGCCCCGTGCTTATAAATTAATAAAACAGCTGTGTGTATTCTTTTTTTCTTTTTCTTTTTCTTTTTCTTTTTCTTTTTCTTTTTTGCTGAAGAGGACATAATTGTTGAAGGTCAGATGAAGGAGCAGATTTTTGTTTCCTGTTATGGAAATGTATTCTTTTTTCTCAATAATATAAAAAATACAGTGAATTTAATTTAAATTGAATTAAGTTTAAACAAGCCTGTATCTTTCTTGGATGCCATTTAAAAAAAAAATACAGAGCAAAGGCAGAAAAATTACACACAAAACATGTAATATTTATTTTCCTGTGGCTAATAATACATAATTAATGTTTGGAGTACAATCTCCACCATCCTGATAAGATTATATGCTCCTTGGGGTACATTTAATGATGCCCATGTGGATCTGGCTTTTCTGCTTTAGGCTCTTTAAGTAAATATTCTAGAAAGCATCTATCTAAAGCAAATATTACTTTAAAAATCACATGAAATTAAAGGCTGCTTGCTTCATTTAAATTGAAAGACGCTAGCTCAGCATAGTTTAAATGTTACACACTTAGTAGCAGGTTGTGCTAACCTATGAATTATGCAAAATGTACTTTATTTAACTCTGTAGAGACATCTTGTGACGCGAAGTACAAGATTTTGCAGTAGCTTAACAGAAAAGTTAGTTGGCTTTTGTTTGGTTTAATATTGTTCATCATAAAAATAGTACTCCAGTTCTCAGAGACACACAGGAGTTGCTTGTGGATTCTCAGAATATCATCTCTTGGTGTGAGAGAAGCAAAACTGGATGCCGTTGCAGCACATGTTCTTGTGCTAATCTGCAGTGATGGGCTACGGCTGAAAGCTAGTGTCAGCTCCCAAGGGGAGCTATTAGAATCTGGCCAAATGGGCTCTGCAATACTCAGCATATATTACTAGGAGTAATTTGTATGGCAAACACACACACACACCATGCGTCAATATTTAAAAAGAAAGAAGAAAAGAAAACGTGAAAGCAGGGTTTCCTCTAGTACAAAAGAAATAAAGCATAGACAAGAGAATTGTCCTGTTTCATTGGTATGATTTTACTGCCTTGGAATCAGAACAGCAACAATTATATTGTCCTCAAACAACGTTAATGATACCTTGGCATACAATTAGGGCACAAGGTAGTATTCAGGGAGACAAAATGGGTTGTGGCTTTTAAGAATTTTTCTATGATTTTGAAAGGGGAGGGCACATACTGGAGGTTTTCGATGGAACTTTGATCCTATAAATATGCCAACTATAGCGAGTGGTGCAGTTGGTTGAAATATTATGCTGTTGAAAAAGAGTGCATTGCACACTTTGCTTTGCCCTCTTTAAACCAGTGGGGCTTAATTCAGAGTATACAATGCTGGGCTGCATGAATTAGTCAAGTTAAAGCAATTTCCCAAGTATCAGGTTATTGCTAGTAAACCTCTTAGGACATAGGAACCTACATTAAAGATGGAGGGACACATTGGCTGGTATTCAACTATGTTTTAGAGTAGACCTACTGAAATTAATGCGCTTAACTTAGTCATGTTCATTCATTCAGTTGGTCTACTCTGAATAAAAACTGCCTTAATACCACCCATTGTATCAAGCACTGAAGTAGCATGTGGGAGACCAAACAGTTTTTTAATTGATGTCATATCTTTGCATCTACAGCCACCTCCCTTAATATTTAAAAAACATCCTAGTAATAATAGTAATTGCCTAGAAAAAAATAAAGTGCCCTTTAGAGACACCTGTGTTTTTTAATACTGGAACCCAAGATATATCAACTTGCAAGTAGCATGAACACAACATAGCATCCAGCATTTCTGTTTTATGCATGTCTACTCAGAAGTGAACTCCAATGGGACTTGGTCAAAAGAAAATTCACATAGGATTGCAACCTGAGTATCATATAGGTTTTAAACCCATAGGCATTTTAGTATAGTAAAATAGATTTATTAGGTACATAGCAAGAAAGGAACATGTTCACTGCTGATTTAAATGGTATAGAATCAAAGGGCCCAAGCTAGATAATACGTAAGTTGGACATCTGTGACAGGATAGCCTGCTTGCTTTTATTTCTTTTTGGAGTAGTTGCAAGGGTTTCCAAATTTGATCAGGGTTGTTGCAGTGGGGCTGTGGCAGTGGGCACTGGTACCATGTTTGTGATCTAATTTATCTCCAAAGCTGCTGTATGCACCATTAAAGAGAATATACAGACACATGTTTTCCCCACTAATAAGGCATGTAGGTGTTTGGTGGGATCCATGATAGGTAAGGAGACAAAATTGGGGGGGGGGTGTTGCTCACCCCTGTTCTAGTCTTGATCAGATTACATCTCCCCCCCGGATTATTCTTATTAAAATGATAATAGCAACAAGCTGGGGATTCAATCACACATCGTCTAATCTTTTGACCCTCAGATCTATATTCTGCCTGTTAAATACTTGTTTTACTTATCTGATTGCAGCAGAATGCTATGTAACAGTATAAAGTGAACAGAATATTCAAATTTTATACGTTTGCTAAATGTCTAGATAGCTTTCTAATCAATATAAGCATTTCTCTAAGAATGCTTGATTGATTTTCAGTTTGTCTTAATGTAACTTTCAACGAAGTTCCCATACCTTAGGTTTACAAAAGATTCAATACAGACACAATACATACCTTCAATGTAAAGAAGTATATGTTGGCTGATATGTAATTAGCTAATATAAAAATGTGTTACAGTGTAATTCAATATATCAAGTATAGCCTGGATAAAGTTGGAGTGATTTAATTTTATGCATGATTCAGTTGTTTGATGGTTCATTACTATAATGCTGCATTTTCTCCATATTTCATATTTCCTTTCATTTGTCAGCTGTTCCCATGTTTGGCCAATCTTTCAAGCTGAGATGCTTGCCAGACAGCTTGGTGATTGCTTCCTGTGTTATATGATTGACTTCTGCTTGTCATTTGGGATAGCTAGATTGACTCTAAGAATCATTTCCAAACACCTGCTATTTATGGCACTCTGTTTCCTAGCTTCTTCCTGTTCTGCTTATTCACAGTGGCAAAGTGTTAGCGTTGAAGTCCAGTGATTTATACCCCCCTTCTCTTGAGAATGCAGACCAGCTAGCCAACACTTTCGTTGGCTGTCAGGCTGTTACTGCTTTCTTTCTGTGTTCCTACATTTTCATTTCTTTTAAGATATATTCTGAAACCTCAGTTTATTTTTACATGCTATTATTCAGGGCTCATCCAGATTTGCCCTTGACCCGCTACTTTCCTCAGAAGAAACCCAATCTTTATTGCTGAATCGGAACAAGTGCCAATCGAGTTTTCTCTGGGTTGATGTTTGTGCCAGTTTATCGCTAAAGAGCAGGTTTTCTGGGGGAAAGCACTGGGGCAAGTGGAAAAATGCTTGGATACATGCTTTCTAGGCATGGGACAAGCACAAGTCTGGAAGAGCCCTCAGTCTTCATAATTTCCCTTCTGCTCTAAAGCAAACTTTTGCTTTAACACAAGAGTAGGGTGCATGAGATATTCAGATATATTGATGAAGTTATTAAAAAAAGACTCTGGAATGATTTTTTTCTCATTATAGTTTAATGAGAAAGCAGAAAAATACAGTCTTAAATGTATCTGTAGTAGATTCTCCAATCTTTATTTCAGGTCTGGCTAGAACCATTTTCCTGTTTAGCATTGCCAGGTTGCAACGAAGAAAAATTCATTAGATATTCTGGACAAACCAAGGATAATGAGGGATGATTGGAGCCAAGTAGAATTCAAAAAGCAGGATTATTTCCTTGTTCAACTTGAAAACCTGTTGGTTAATCTACTTAAGGGCATGTCATTCTCTGAACTATGGAGGCGGAGATGTCTGGTGACAGTACAGATGTCAAGAATCAGATTTAGGTGATATATTCTCAGCTACCTGAATAGTTACTAGATGACTAATTTAATGTAGAAACTCCTTTAGAAACAGCTGTAGTGCAGCAAGATAGACTAACAAGTACTGTTCCCCATTGTTGCTATGAAGATTTGTCCCCTCCATGGAGTTTCCTTTGCTGTTGTCAGCAGAAATAATACTGTTGTAGATTTATGGGTCTACAGATTATGGCAGCTGCATGCACCGAATGAGTGCCTATCATTCATGATCAGAAGAGAATATACAGTTTGGGGTGCACTGAGAACATGTTTTGTGTGTTTCTTTTCGGTACATTTGGTACATTTCTTTTTGGTCCTCAAATTAGTCATAATAGTGATTTCTAAGACAATAGCATTCCTTAAGTCATCTTAAAATTCTGACACCTTGAATGTGCTTCTGGAGCTCAACATTCAAGAGGTTTGTTAACAGAATCCAAGAATCTGGAGGTTCACATGTAACATAGATATTATCCTAAAAATATACAACCAGGGAATGCTAATGCTTGTTTACACTTTCTCGATTCTCCCTCCTCCATGTTAAACATATTGCAATATTTACACCTGAGCCAGGGTAGTGCTCAGAACTATGAAACAGGTGGTTATTGCAGGCGGTGGGTCTGAGGCACTGAGAGTGCTCTCCTTGCCTGAGGGAGCACTAATGTTGAAGGCTAAAGAGCAGCAAGTTCCAGTGCAAACATGTAATTCCATCCTTGTTGAATTTCTGAGGAAAAGTGGGTTGGAATGATTGGGGGAGGATGTCTGGCTGCAATATGCATTTAACTTTGTGAAGTCCTGGAGAAAAAGGTAGAAGAGATGTGCCCTTTGACTTTTGAGTCTTTTTGTTTTTATGTCATCAGCAAGTTCAGCCTTTCTGAAGTTCTGGTAGCTGGTGATAGTTCATGTTTATGCTAATTCAAAATTAGGATTATAGTTAAGGATATATGTTATGGCTATTCAATTTTTGCAGTGGATTTCAAATTAAGGACAAAAATATGTGAATTATGCCAAATACTTGGGGTAATTACAGAACATGCACTTTTTAAGATCTTATTATTTTAAAAATATGAAATATATTTAAATGGAATAGGTTTTTCATTAATAACTAGCAGCAATGTACCTGGAATTGCCAAGGGATTCCAATAAATGAAAACACTGCAGTTTGAAAGGTTTATTCTGTCATCTTGATTCAAATTGGTATCCACCTGTATCAAAACATAGATGAAGACCTGCACCTTGATCTCGGGAACTATCATGCAGAATCTAGTCACAATATCTTAAGAGGTGTCCAAATGCATAGTGAACAAAGAACCAACTTTCCAAAATGGAACAAAGAAACAATTTTCCAAAATGGCCTGGCCTGCTCAAATATTTTTTGGGGGAACCAAAGTGTTGGATCCTATGATACCTGTGCCGATTAGATTTTCTAGCATGATACTCCAATTCGCACATAGATATTCTAACTACAGTGTAGTTCTGGTGTTAAGTAAAAGATCTCAAAAGGATTTCAAAGTCAACAAATACTTGCATGAAAATAACCATATACCATTGATCATTCACTTTTCATCAGAAAAACTTGGCTGGTGAATCTTATAAGTCCAGTTAGAATGAATTCTACTTACCTGTTCTAATCTTTCTGCACATGTAGAGAACAGTTTAATGAACATCATATTTTGGTTTACCATAAACCAGAGTGTAGCTTTTAGTGGGTTTAGTGTAGCTTATGGTGTATGTATGCAATTTGTAATTAAGTTCAAATATGACTCACACTGTAATTTACATGCTTCTCAGTACCAGGTTAAAGTAGCAGCCAGCTGAGTATGGAGAGAGGAGCTTTCTACGTGTAGCTCCAGGTGTTTCATTAAAGACCAGATGGAGCAGTCTTATAATTTCATTAAAAATGACAGTAATACCCCAAAACAAATCTCAGTGGGATTGACACCTGTGCATCATAATCAGCGATTTTAAGAATATTTATAGGAGTATAAATTTTGCACACTTAGATATAGTCGGTCGCAATAAATACTTCTTTTCCATTGGAAAAGCAGAATACCACAACCATCAATTACCCTAAACATGATCTACAATTTAGCTTCCAAATGCATGTGTTTGAGTTGGAGCCTGGTAGAATCTTTCCCTAATTACTGGGTACTAGTTACGTAGAGTGACCTATCAATAAGGCTGAGCCCAGTAACGAGCTGCATTAAACCATATGGCTGAGACAGCAGATTGGGTGAGATGACAGATTATGTCTCTGCTATCTCCCTGCATGTCCAATCACCAACCAATTACAACTCAATGGCCATTCAACAGACCTGCTTCTCCTTTCTCTTCACTCACCCACCCACTCCTGCTGCTCTCCCTCCCTCTGTTGCTCACCCACTTACTGCAAGAGCACTGTTGCAACCAGCAATGGAGGTGGCAAATTAGTGTAAAATGCCCTTCACTTTTAAACTGTATTTTGCCATTGTTGTGGCAAAGTGGTGGCAGCTCACTGAGTGATTTTGCCCACAATTCATTGTTCTGAGGACCATGCCAGCAGTACTGATAGCATTGCTTGTTCCCAGATTTACCCCTTCCTCAGCCCTCTGTGCTACCTACCCTTCATTGCTGTTCTTGAATGTTCCTGAACTCTTGAATATATTTTTGGAAAATGTAAAAAGGCTGCAAGAGATGTTGGAGTTGGGCATGTATGTCACAGTAGAGTACAGGAGTAAATAGTCTAGTAAGACTGCTGGTTGAAAGAAGAAAGATGTTTAAGATTTATTATTCCTAGTAATAATCAAAGCCATTCTGAGGACAAGGTTACATGTTGCGATCATGGAGTCCTTAACAGAAGGAAAGTCTCTAACACTAATTGAAGGAGGAGGGTGAAAAAAGAATGAAAACCTTCACCCCACCCCCCACCCCTGTTTCAGATGCAGCTTTACTTCCAACAGGAGAGAGGTGGATTGGTTAAAAATCATGTACCTTCTTTTGCTAGCTGAGGTGTTTGTTGGATTAATAACCATTTTGCTATTAGAAAGGCACAGTTGGATTCCACCTCATGGTTTTGTGAATCGTGGTATTTGAAATGCTTCAAAATGTAATGTTATTAATGAGGGTAAAGATCGCTTCAGAGCTAAATACAACATGATTTTAGAGCAATATTGTTTTACTAGGCCTTAAAACACCAGTTCCCGATTCTTTGGAACAATTGACAAAAACTCTCATCGACTGACTGGCAGGATGTTTGTTACCTTAGCAAAAACTCCACCCAATATCAGGAAGATATTATGAGCTGAATGTTTTAAGTTGACCTCAAACTCTTTATCAGATCACAAGGAGTGGCTAAGAGGTGGTGTGGAAGAAAGGCTCACTGTATGATTGAGGATGTTAATCCTTTGAGTTAAATCAGCCCTTACTAATTAATGCTTGCTTCCTGACACGACAGACCTTACTGTTATGTGATTTACTGTGGCAGCCAACATTTATCAGACTATCATTTCCAGCTGTGTGGAACTAATAATACCCAAAGGAGCCTGTTCTATGGGTTTGATGTGTGGGGTGTTAGGTATGCAACACAAACTTATCATTTTAATTAACAAGTCTTGATATTTCAAAACATAATAGAGCATGACTAATGAATGTATTTTTAGTGAAAAAAGACAAAAAAAAATTTCAATAGTGCAGTTTTATGGTAGGATAACAATCTGCTATGAAATATAGAAAACAACTCTATAGTGTACTGTTATGGACAGAATGAATAAATGGCATAAGCAGGTTGATTACATGGTAGGAGGCCTAATATCTAATTTGAAATAAGATGTTGTATATATTCTGGGCACGGTAGTTTAACAGTTGCTGGGAAATGTAATTCAGGGTGAGGTGGCCAAAATTCTTTGAAATAATGTGCTTTGAGTGTGCTTCAAAGGTACACAGCCTTTATAGAGCTCTTTTCTTATTTTCTCATCTGTTCCATGGTCACTTATCCTTTAGAACTGCTGAGATGCATTTGATCCCACTAGCATTAAAAATGAAAAAGGCCTTCTCTGGGCATCATTATCATTGGAATTGAGGTAGCTTCTAGGTGCAGAGCCTTCTCAGTGATGGTGTACCAGTTGCGAAATGCTCTCCCCAGAGAGGCTCATCTAGCCCTGATTTTGCTGTCCTCCTGGATTTCCTTTTTATTTCCCCAAGCTTTTTAGTTACATAAACTACCAAAGGAAGTTGTAAAGGACCGTATAAATGTTCATCTGCCAGTCCTACAGCTTTGATATAGGCAGTAATACCAGCCTGTCTTTAAAAGGTCGTTTTGAGGATTATTGAGTGTGTGAAACTCATTGAGCAGTGAAAAGGAATATATAAATGATAATTGTTATAATAAACCACTGAATGACTTCTAGAGCACTTAGTAACAGAAAGTAGTTGTAGCGGGCATACCTTGGTTCACTGATGTAGGAATGGCAGTTAAAAATGCCCTGGCTTCTTTTAAAAATGCACACCAAAACTTCTTGTACTTTGTTTTCCAAGGAAAACAAGTTGTACCAGCTATGTATCAACACAACTACATCATTCAGATCTTTTGTCCTCTTGGTAAAATATTTTATGCAAGTATAAATAATTATGTAGCACAAGGTGCTTAAACACCTGACCTTTCCTTGTAATTAATCTGTTTAACTGTCATCCAAGAGGTACCTTTTGCAGGAAATATAATTTAGGGTATGATATTGCCATCTGTGCTTTATGAACAGGTTGTCATGGGCATAGTGAATCCTACGCCAGAAGCTTAGTTTTCGACCTGTGTGGTTTGATGCTGAGGAAGATGTACAACCATAGCTGTGTAATCTACAAGTTTTACTCCAGCTGGAAACAATAATAATTTGTCTATGCCTTGATACAAGTGTATGATAAATCGGCATAGCTGGATTTAGGTAAAATCTGGAATACTTTATAGTAATTTAAATCTGTGCCTGCAGGAGGCATGTGTCAATAACTGGAAATAAGATGTTAGTCTTTTTCAAACACTGCCACTAGCTGTATCGTGGATCTTTTTAGAAAGGTATGTTTTAAAAAGGAAGATAAAACATTAAAATGTGGATTGGATTAAAATTCATCAGTATATTTCAACACTAGTTGTTTTTAAGCAGCATCTCAAGACGGTTACAGTCTACAGACTTCTGGGTTCCAACACACCCAGCTTTTTCACTCATCCTCCCCTCCACTTTTTCTTCTTGTTGTTGTTGCTTAACATCCATCTTGAAAAGAGATCTGGAGAACTCAAAAGGCTTGCTCACTGTTTCCGGGTATAGTACTGTGATTTCCCTCCACGATGCAGGAATGGAGGGGTAGCTGTATCATTAGGCAGGGTTAAATGACAGGGTTAAGTCCCTTGAGCTAGCCTACTATTCTGTAGAGCAGTGTGGACATTATCACATTGCCGGTTTTGCAGCTGAAACTTAGTTCCAGTCCAGATGGAAGTGGGAGAATGCCATCTCCTCCTGTAGCAAAATGATTCATGCCAACCCTGGTGGAAGGAAGGAGGGAAGGAAGGATTTTCATTTCTTGAATTGAATGTCAGATTATTTTTGTTCATATCAGGGGGTTTTTCCTGCATATGCAGCTTCTCTTGGGAGTGAAAAAACGCAAAATGCTTTTGTATGTTCAACCGCGCCACATATTTGTATAATGCTGCTGTGTATTATTTTGGTCATAATATATTAAACAAAAGCATAATCTGAAAAAGGGTATGAAAACTAAAATTGTCAAGAGTTTGGTTAAAATCCTGTATCCACTTATTTGGGTATAAGCCCAACCATAACCTAATTAGAAACTCTTTATGAGTGCACGTAGGATTGCAGTTTTAAATAAATGTTTAAAAGTTTTAAAGCTTCACAGGGCAGTCCTAGGTAAGTAAGTCTCACTGAGTTTGAGGGGACTTAATCTCAGGCAACTGTAAGTGTATATAGGATTGCAGCTTAAATACAGAAAACTTACTACTGTATTGGGGGAGAGCAGACAAGCAATTTCTTCATTTGTACTAAAACTTGGGGACGTCCAGAGAAGTCAAATTAGTGTTGATCACAAACTTACATCGCATATACCACTTAAGAGTTAATAATTAACGTATGAAATGACAAGATATGATGGTAATTACTAGCTTTGAAGAAATGAAAGGGGAGAAAGGATTTCGTATATTAATGGAGGACAATTCTATTAAAAGCTGTGAGTCATGATTATTGAATAGAAACTCAGAGTGTTTCTTTATCCATCTCTTTTATTGGTGAGTGTTGGGTAGGAGAACTACAAATCCTCTCACCTGCTGCCCTCTATTCAATGGTTTCCCAGGAAATGTCTCTTGACTGCTCCTCTAGCTTTGCAGATTTATGCACACTCAGGCACACACACATTCAGTCCTCTTGAGCATTTGATTACTGAGGGTTTTTTTTATATAAAAAGGGCTACTAGTTTCTGAATTTAAGGCCTGTACAGTTGTACAGTTCAGCCTTTAATTAGGCCTGTAGCCAGGTTTGCATTCTTTTGGGGCCAAAAAGTGATAAAGGAGTGGCTTATTCTGTGCCTGTAGGACTAGACTACAGGAACTTGAGCAATAATTCAGGTAACTATTTAATCTTAATACCAGTTATCTGTTAACTGCTTTTGAAAATAACCTAGATCATAGCTTTTATATTTTTAATGTGCACTTGTGAAAGGCTTGGTATGAACTTCACAGATTAGCAGTTGATCATTCTCACTGGAAACTGACAAGGTCACACTGAAGTTATATTTATACCTGTGAAAACAACAAATGATGTTAACATAGCATAACATTGCATAAATGTATAGATTTTCATGGGTAGCATTTGATTGCTGCTGGAGCTGCAAGTTGCTTTGGATGATATTTATGCAGCAGCAAGAGTTTATGCATAACACTTCACATATTATAGGTAGGCAAGATAGAAAAATACATTCCCATGAGAAGGTAAACTGTTTTATATGATAATTAAACAGCAGTTGTGCAAAAAACTATTGTATGAGAAAAAGGAGCTGCCACAGTAGCATTTGAAGTTTTCTATAGCATTTTATATTTATAGTATGTTTTCAGTCTTGTGCTGTCAGATTTTTCTCCAACCTAAGAAAATCACATTATTGCTTTGTAGCAAGGCAAAACAAACTTATCTATTTCCAGCTCTAAAATGAGCTAATAGATTGGAAATACTAAGTAATGAATTTGTTCAACAATGACATAAAAAGTCACACCAGCCACACCTCTTCTTCCTGGTTTCTGAACAAAGAATTTTACTCTGAGATCAAAATGATAGATTTGTGTGTGTGTGTGTGCTAGTATAAAAGTGTGGAAGCCTTAGATCAGGCATAGGCAAACTCGGCCCTCCAGATGTTTTGAGACTACAATTCCCATCATCCCTGACCACTGGTCCTGTTAGCTAGGGATGATGGAAGTTGTAGTCCCAAAACATCTGGAGGGCCGAGTTTGCCTATGCCTGCCTTAGATATTGTCACAGAGTCAGCTGGTCAGTAAATCACAGTTCAGAGCTGGAGTTGTTAGAAAAACACAATCTTTACAGACTTAGCTGGGTTTCATGCTCAGTGAGCACAGCAGCTCATGCCCTGTAGGTCCTACTCTATGAAATCAGTTGCTGAAACTAAAAGTGTCTGCCTCCCCACAGCCATCTATGTGTTCTCCTCTCCAGGGCTTCTTCCGAACAAGTGGAGACAGCGCTGCATGCAGCCTATCTTTGCTTTGCCCATTTCATCCCTCTACTTGTTTGGGGAGTCAGGGGGGAGGGGAGCTTGTGTCAGCAGGGAGGGAAGACACCCAGGAAACTCTACCTCTTGACCTCCCTTCTCCCACATGTCTGCTTCAGCTTCTGCCTCTGATGCTTGACTTCTCTGCCACATACTCTCCCACCTCATTGAGCCTTAATGCCCCTTCAGCTTCTGACAGCTTCTTTCCCCAGACTTCTCCCTGTAACCATTCACCGTTGTCTCACTACCACTCCCTGGACTCTGAGCATTCTTCCCTTGATGGTTCCCCAGCTGGTTTCTCCCACTACTCGTCTGTGTCCAACCAGTCCATGACAGATTTGCCCTTAGCATATGGCAACCTACACATCTTTCATTTACCACTGTGTAAGGCTCTGTGGGTTAAACCACAGAGCCTAGGACTTGCCGATCAGAAGGTTGGCGGTTCGAATCCCTGCGGCGGGGTGAGCTCCCGTTGCTCGGTCCCTGCTGCTGCCAACCTAGCAGTTCGAAAGCACGTCAAAGTACAAGTAGCTAAATAGGTACCGCTCTGGTGGGAAGGTAAACGGCGTTTCCGTGCACTGCTCTGGTTCGTCAGAAGCGGCTTAGTCATGCTGGCCACATGACCTGGAAAGCTGTATGCTGGCTCCCTCGGCCAATAAAGCGAGATGAGCACCACAACCCTAGAGTCAGTCACGACTGGACCTAATGGTCAGGGGTCCCTTTACCTTTACTAAGGCCGTAGGATTACATAATCTGTAGAGCACATGCCAGCCTATATTAGATTCTTGTAGCCATTTCTTTTGTTAAGAGCTAACCTTGTGGCTTTTTTTACATCAAGACAAGACAAGACTGATCAAATTTCATAATTTTTGAATAGCTCAAGAATATATCATGTGTCGTTAATGCAATATCATTCACTAGAAAAGCTAGCTGTGAAACATAATCCATCATACAAATGCTTTTGGGTAATGCACAACTCAAATCTTATTTGGAACATGATATTATATAAAGTAGACATTGTGTTACTCATTTGGCATTCATTGGCAAGCATGTGATCAAGGTCTCCCCCCCCCACCTTTTTTTTTTACATTCCAAAACCTTTCCCTCCAAGCCCTTTGCTTTTGGCTAAAGTGTCTCAGACAAAATGGGAGTGAAAATGATGCATGTAGTAGTTCCTGAAGATAATTGGTACACTTTCTTCATGGGGGGAAATGAATACGGATATCCTATTTTCTGTATCCTGTGATACCTACCCATTTTCTTCAGATCCTTTATTTCTCCAGTCATTTGTTTATTCCAGGTTGTTTTTCTGTCACTGTCTTTGCTACATAGGTGTCATTTTTAGGAATCCACACCAACACACATTAGGAGAGCAATGGTTTCACAATGTAGAATAATCTATAAAACAAAACTGGTGTTTCATCTGTCACATGAGGCACAGGTCTTTCTTTCTTTCTTTCTTTCTTTCTTTCTTTCTTTCTTTCTTTCTTTCTTTTTATAAAAAGGCCTTAATGTTCAGATGCCCTGTATGTGGGCTTAAAGTATATATTAAAAAGTAGCAGACAAACATGGATTTTTCAGTGGGATAGTTCACATTTGCTGCAACCCCCAAGCTAATTCTTCAGGACCCTGGTGGGGGCTTCCACTAGACATGGATCAAATTGCTTTTTGAATACTGGTGTCTACAAGCAGGCTTTTCATCTGCAGCCACTATGATTGTGCAATTCCAGCAACCTGAAAAAGACACTAAGAAATTGGCTAGCGAATCCCTAAACTGGTCCAATTCTATACTAAAATATACTCCTTAGCTCACTGCCTGGGCCTAGGGAGAAGATGCAGAAATAATCACACATTAGGCAGTTCTAATCTCTCCTGAAAACGTGAATCTGGAAAAAGTAAATAATTTCTGGAGAAACATATCACAAGGCAAAGTAGTACAACTCATTATCATCACTGTAACAAATTTACCCTGGAGATAAATGCATTTCATATGATGAAATCTTACTATAGTGATATTTATAATGCAAGCTGCTGGGATTTTAAATGGTTTTTGATCTCCCACCCCCAAATCTGACACTGATTTCCTGAAGAGCATCTTGTGTGAAGAGACTTGCACAAAACCACCAGTGACAGGACAGAGTCTTGACCCAGACTAACTGCCCAAATTCTCAAAATTTGCTTAACTCGTGTATATATGTGCAAGTCATTTTTCTTTTTTTTTAAAAAATGATATTTATTAAAAGTTTAAGAATTACAGGGGGGAAAAATAACAATAAAAAAGAAAAAGAACAATGACAAAACATATAAAACATATAAAAGCCATACAACAATACAGCAAAAAACAAAAACAAAAAAGAAACTAAAACATACATCCAGTATTCCATATCTTTACCTTTCCTTTACTTGTTTCATCGACCTCCTCATACCTCCCTTTTTTTGTATTCTAGTTCAATTCACTATTTCAGCAAGTTCTTCCCATCTTTCTCAATTTTTATTCTATAATTTGTCTTAACAGTCTAACCTTAAATTTTTTCAATTTAACCCATTATCAATCAACTTTTACTTAATTCTTTGTTGCATTTCTACTAAAACCATGTAACTTCATTCCCGCATCCTTCTAACACTCATTAATTTTACAATGTTTCTCTAAGTATACTTTAAATTTTTTCCAATCTTCTTCCACTGACTCTTCTCCCTGGTCTCGAATTCTGCCAGTCATTTCCGCCAGTTCCATGTAGTCCATCAGCTTCATCTGCCATTCTTCCCTGGTGGGTAGATCTTGTGTCTTCCAATACTTTGCAATGAGTATTCTTGCTGCTGTTGTAGCGTACATAAAGAAAGTTCTATCTTTCTTTGGCACCAATTGGCCGACCATGCCCAGGAGAAAGGCCTCTGGTTTCTTAAGGAAGGTATATTTATATACCTTTTTCATTTCATTATAGATCATCTCCCAGAATGCCTTAATCTTTGGGCATGTCCACCAAAGGTGAAAGAATGTACCTTCAGTTACATTACATTTCCAACATTTATTATCGGGCAAATGATAGATTTTTGCAAGCTTGACTGGTGTTATGTACCACCTATAAATCATTTTCATTAAATTCTCTTTTAAGGCATTGCATGCTGTAAACTTCATACCAGTGGTCCATAACTGTTCCCAGTCAGCCATCATAATATCATGTCCAACATCTTGTGCCCATTTAAATCATGCAAGTCATTTTTCTTGTATTGACTATTAGCATAATCCTAACTGATACCAGTAATCTATTTTAGGAAATTTTAGTATTTACAAATAAACTAGACAGCAGGATTTTTTCCCCTGACCGAAATACTTGAATTATTCATAGATCATGCCTGCCAATCATATACTGGTCTCTTGAGAAATCAATACTGTGCCCTATGTTAGGTTATGATCTTTGTTCTGTCAACATCTTGCTGCTAGATTAGGAATTCATACATGTGCAAAAAATACCGTAATAATAATAAAGTATAGAAAAAACTGTGATGTTTTCTTCACCACTTCATGCAGTTCGAAGGACATAGCAACCTTAAATCAACCATCCTCATAAGAATAAAAAGAAATAGCCCTCCCTATAGGAGCACTATACATTTCCTATTCTCTTCCATACTTTATATTGTAAATACCACCACTACTACTACTACTACTACTACTACTAATTTTATTATTTATACCCTGCCCATCTGGCTGGGTTTCCGTAGTCACTCTGGGCAGCTTACAGCCAGGTACATGATGCTTTTTCCTTCTATTAAAAAAATACTGAGATACATTGTTTTCATTTATTTATTTTGATTTATATACTACCCTTTATCAAAAGATCCCAGGTTGGTGTACAACATTAAGAACATATTTTACAGATCACAATAGTAAAAACATAATAAAAACCCTAAGAAAAGACAGCATAAGGATAAAATAATCACAATAGCCGTCCTCCCCCCATGGCCTTAACAGGCCACAGATTATTTAAAGTGCAGAGGTCTGGGTAAAGAGGAATGGTTTTGCCTGGCACATAAAGACATGTAATAGGCTCGCCTAGCGTCGTCATCTAGGAAGAGCATTCCACAGGGAGAACCACCACAGAAAAAGCATGCTTTTGTGTTGCTGCCCTCCAAACCTCTCAAGCGATATAAATAAATATGACAGGACAGGTATAATTTTGTTCATTTTGTACTGAATGGTCAGAATTGGCTTTTGTTTTCAAAATCAGAAGTAAAGCAGGTTAATCAGCTTGCTAGTTTATCATAATTCAAGGCACTTTATTATGAAGGTATTGTTAAGGTATTGTTTACAAAGATTTATACTGGTGTTAAAAGTTCAGCTCAGACTTAATTTTTCTTTAATTTGTTTTTAAAGATTCCGTCATAAATTAGGATTCTCAAACTGATAGGAAAGGGCTAGTTATAGGTTCCCTATCACAGCCTAATTGTCTGTAATACTGGAGTCTAATTCATCTAATTGTCAGGAAGAGAAATGATTAGCACTTTCCCCCCATTTTGTAATTAGTACTTGGTGCTTCTGAATCCCATATCAGATTAAATTCCTGCTCATATAATGAGTTTAACATGGTTTCATGGGCTGATAGATAATTATTCAGTGACAGCAATCGCTGGATAGTTAAGACCAGGCATGGACTTTCTGTTGGTTCCTGAGGATTCCAAGCTTTTTAGGTCACATCCTAAAGAGAAATGGTAGCAGTCACAAAAAAGATGGTTGACTTCTCTATGCTTCCTTGTAGTGTGTAACAGCATTATAACGTGATCATTTCCCCCTCAAAGCCTTTGTAATGGAAAATATCCATTTCTTTCCCCCTCAAAAGTGCATATTTGCAGGAACCAATCTATGGTTTTGATAAGTGTTTGGGTGTGTGTCAATACAGCAATCTTTTTGTTACTTGTAGGTTGAACATACTGATATGCAGCTAGTATTAAGGTGCTGGATTGGATAAGATACATTGAGGGGGATTTCTAGACAGGAAAATACAATAGGAATAGCGGGCAATGCAAATGAAATAAAAATGGTTACAAGAAACAGTGGAATGACAAGAACAACAAGGATATCACAGCAGGTAGACTATTCATTTGCTGAATGCAATTTTATTTAATTCAGTAGCATTCATTATCTGGCATGCATTACCAGGCAATGAATGAATGAATGAATGAATGAATGAATAAATAAACAAACGTGCAAATGTAATCTGTGCATTTTTTCCCCTCTTGGGATTTCCTTCAGCTGACCCGCTTGTTAGTTTATATCCTATGCTCTAGATATCCTGTTTAATGGAAAGGGATTTAAGAACATCCTTTTAGCAAGACAAGGCACACACCTTGTCACAACAGTCTTTCTCTAAGGCATGTCTAATACATGAGATTGGTGTTATATAGTCTTCTTCCCTAAGTGTGTCGTATTGTGGTTAAACCCAGAACTAGCACTAGGTAGCTGTTACAGCTCTGACAAATATGCCCTGCTCTAGATTAATTTGCTATACTAGAGGAGAAAGTAGGGTAGTGGATGGTGTACCTGCAGCTGGTGTGGTGAAGTGCTGACCCCCAGCCCTGATCTAGCCTCCCGAGTCTTTTCAATAAACCACTTGGCACCGTGGTTACAAATTTGCTGGTTACATAAATTGCAGTAGATGGCTCAGGAAAAGCTGGTGATCAAGGTCCCTGCCACTGCCCCACTGCTTGTTTTCTCTTTTTTCACTTATAATATTTAATTGGTTTTGTTAAAGTACAAACTTAACAAAAGGAAACAGAAAACAAAGAATCAAATGTGTTAATCACAAAGCGTCACAGCCTGGAAGGACGAAAGATAGTGTAGCTCCAAAGCAACAATGAAGACATGTAAAAACAAAAGTACTTCCCCACTTTGAGTTTTACCATTACTGAGCTTTAAGTTCTATAACGTCTCAGATGATCCAGACGTTTGCATATACTGGTGAAACTGAGCAACCATATATCTCAATATTCTTAAAAGAAATAAAATCATGATGAGTTTTTTTTTTTTTGCTGTACATAAGAATATAAGACAAGCCTGCAGTATCAGGCCAGTTGCCCATCTAGTCCAGGATCCTGTTTTCACAGTGGCCAACCAGTTGCTTGTGGGAATCCTGTAAGCTGGACATGTACTCTGCCCACTTGCAGTTTGCAGCAACTGGTATTCATTCGGTGGCATACTGCCTCTGACAGTGGAGGCAGAACACGGTCATCACGGCTAGTAGGCATTAATAGCCTTATTATCCATGAATTTGTCTTAGTTCTCTTTTGAAGCCATGCAAGTTGATGGCAATCGCTGTCTCTTGGGCAAGCAAGTTCCATAGTTGTAAATATGCAATTTTCATAGTTTTAAATACACAGCATGGTGAAGTATTTTCTTTTCTCTGTTCCAAATCTTCCAACATTCAGCTTCATCGAATATCCTTGAGTTCTAGTGTTGTGTGAGAGGCAGACATTTACAAGTTCTGGTGTCTGTGGTGTGCTCTCTGTCCATTTTGAAATGGCAGGCAATGGTGGTGGTGATATTAAGCCCTGATATCGCTGCTCCTACAAAGCCAGCCAAAATTTATTCCTCCTCCTCTCTGACCTGCAGCTCCCAAGGCACCCGTATGCTGCTTGAAGAACTATTATTTTCCAGTCCAGTGCCACAGTGGAGAGCAAAGTTGCAATAATCCCTTTTAGACCCAAGGACATGGTTTCCTTTCTCATTGTGTCCCGGGGCTGGAAATTTTGCACAGCGCCTGCAGCAGTTTCAGCAGCTGCTACAAGATACTACTCAGTCCAGTGCCATGATGAGGAGGAAGATTGTCTCCTCTGCTGTTCATAGATAGGTCTCTGAAGAGCAGGGAGCAGTTTTATTATAGCTGAGGACTATAATAGGGAGGAAAACTCCTCCTCTACAGGTGGAGCAAGGTGGTGATTTCAAGTTGGCCAACACTCACCTTACATGTCCACCCAGTGAGAATGGGTGGTGGTGACCAAGACAGGAGCAGCTTTCTGTACTCTACAAGCATGCAGGCAGGCAAGATCTACAGCAGCTCTGGCACACAAGGCAGAGGCTACAAACAGACTTCCCTTGAAATTCAGAGCAGGAACAAGAATCCCAACAGAGTCCTCATGAACAGAAACAGTGCTTATGTATTTCATATGTCACAAGCATCTAACAAGGGTTAGATCTGTGCATGCATGTGTGGAATGGCCACACACCCCTTGGCATGAGATTTCCAGAGGATTACAATATGGCATTGCGCTCCTTGAGCCAGTTTGCATCATACCTTAATGCTGCTTTCCTTTCTGATGGGCAGCATTGGGCTGTTGGCCATGCCGGTGGAAGTTGTAGTCCCAAACTGGAGCGTACCAGGTTGGGGAAGCCAGTAGAAGAGTAGAAATGTTGGCTGAGGAACTAGAGGATGTTTGTGTAGCAATAGTCCACTTGCTTATTTCCATAGCAATTTTTCCATAGTAATTATGGCATGTAGGGTAGAGCTGGATAGCGTTAGGCGGAGCAATGGATGCAATATTTATGCTGCTCATCATTTTGAAGCATGACCAGAAGCCATGCTGCTGCAAATCTGGACAATGGATAAATGTGATGCTTCGGCACATACTTAATCCACCTGGAATATAGTGTTGACTGAACCACATTGGCTGAAGATCTCTGGAGCCAGACTGTGCTGCATATAGCACACTTGCCTTGGGGAAATTTGACAATTTTCACTTAAGAATGCTACAGCAGAAACCAGAAGGAAGTCAGAAGAAACTGTAATTGTAAAAGACAAGAAGGAGCTAGATATGAACATAATCTAACTAACGTTTTCCTCCTGGAAGCTATTCTTGCATTTCTTTACAGCTGCTAATATCTGTTAGTATATGCTATCTTTTATTGTGTAGTCTACTGCAGGAAAGATGAATTTACAAATGTGGCACTTATAAACCTTTAATATAGTTAAGCAATCTCCCCAGACAACAATGACTTTGTCAGTTTATTCTTGATGGATTATTTTAATAGAGCAAATATTGCTTGAATAAAATTGTATTCCCTAATTCCATACACATGACTCCATTTTATTCATACTTCCTTGTCGAACATCAAACTGCTACTAGATTTTTTTTGGTGCTTATATCCCTTCTGTTTATCTATACCAGTGTCAGTCTCTTCCCCCTCCTTTTTTCTTCCCTACTCTTCTGTGAGTACAGGAATATCAGGCAGATTGTTCTAGTATAGAGGTAGGGAATCTCTGGCCGGTGGCGGCAGGGGGCTGCAGCCCTCCACACCTCTGTATTTGGTCCTCAGCTCTCTCCCGAAGTGTTCTTGCATGGCTGGAATGTGTCCTTGGATCCTGACAATACCTCTTGCTTGTACTGATGGAAGACAGACGGGTGTGTAGAAATGACTGTACAAAGGTGAAGCCCTCTTAGCCTCTGGTCCCACCCAGCACTGGCATATGGCTCCTGAAAGATTACTCTTAAGGGAATGTGGCTCTTGGGCTGAAAAAGGTTCCCCAACCATGTACACGGATAGGGAACCTGTGGCCTTTTAGATACTGTTGGGGTCCAGCTCCCATCAGCCCCAGCCAACATGAACAATGATCAGACATGATGGGGAGTTGTAGCAGGATATAATCTGGAGGGCTGCAGGTTCTTCTTCCATGCTTTAGGATATAGCTAGATATTTGGACAAAACTTTATTTTATGGTGCTTCCCTCATATCAAGGTTCAGAAATATCACAATATGTTGAATTTATTTCTGTTAATATAAATTCATCTGGGAAACGATAAGCTACTGAATGTGTAGAGGATGCTTCACGCAATACATTGTTTAGACATAGAATAAACCTCTGCATAAGCATGAATGTGAAGCATGCACCTGAACCGTAGATTTGAGCAATGGCTCAAGCGTTTAATTTTTAATGCCATTTTTTGGACAAAAATGGTCTCTTGAAGTGATTCACATCTATTGGTACAATGTAGTGCTATGATAGGTACGGTACATACGGGAAATGAAAATGAGGAAAAGACTGTAGTGTTAGGCTTGCAGAATGAAAGACTGACAAGGGAAAGGAAGTAAAGATACGAGGGAGATCAGCTTGACAAGGCAGAAAAAGTATCGTGAATGCATTTTTATATTCAGTTGGGGCCTGGCAGATGCTTGCTGGAGATTTTGCTTGGGTAGAAACAATGAAACTAAACAGTGGTCCTTTAGGCTGTTGGGAGAGTGTCTCATTTCTGTAGTCCAGGGCATCTGACAGTGGCAGAAAGCAAGTTTCTCCTTTGGTCAATGACTGGGGCTCTGCTGGTTTTTCTGTTGCAACAGTACTGTCCCTGGGAAGGAGAATGCACCACCCTGGTAGATCTTGCTACTTTGATGCATAGCAGTAGCCAGAATGCCTTTCTCAATTTTTTTACTTTGCCTTCTATAGAAGCTAATCTACACTGAAGATTAAACTAGATTGGATGAATTTTGGTTAATTTTATTTTTATGCTGTAAGTGATATTTTATGGTGCAACACCTAGCAAACACTAGTGATCGTCTGTGATTTCAGTGATGGTTTAATCGATCATGTCTTGTATGTGATAATATTATATTGGAGTAATGACTTAGAAGGCTGAGAGTCCTTGAAGTAAATTGAGAGCTACTTCATTATAGAATAGAAGAGCCGATGGGGGGGGGACCCAGAGCAGATGGGGGGGACCCAGTTTTTTCCTGTTGTATGTCAGAGTGATATTTGTATCAAGTTATTGCAACCATAAACAAGGACCCTGGGTCACTGCAACTTTGTGTTGCTGCATATTCTATCATTTAGAACATAGCATTTCTTAGTTACTCATTAGTATAGTGGTAAGTATCCCCTTCTGTCATGTGGGAGACTGAGTGGTACAGCAATAAAATGGCTAGCACATTTGCACAGCTAAGCAGGGTCTGGTATGTCTTCAAATTGGATGGGGAACCATGTGTTGAGATTCCTGCATCCAAGGGGGTTGGACTAGATGGCCCTTGGGGTGCCTTCCAACTCTACGATTCTGATCCATAGTGTCTGATAAGGTCTAGCAAAGAGAGAATGGTCAGGTGTATTGACTACCACTTTGTTTCTGAGTTCAATTCAAAGTGCTTGTGGTTTAAAAGGTCCAAATGCATAGTCCTACTGCATTTGAACACGCCAGCATTGGAGCTATTGAACCTATGAAAAACGAAATATAGTTCTGAAATATCAACACCTGTTCTGTACTTTTACCTTGAAATAAACAACTAAGATGTGTGCCAGCTGCCAGTGCTTAATTTGGAATGTATTGCAGAAAAGAAGAGAGTTGAGAGCAATATTGGGGTTCATAGTTTTTATGACATCATTATCTCTGTTTCTTATTTTTCAGGCATGAGTGCCAGTGCTTGTGTAGCTAAAAGGCACACTTGTGCACAAGAGGGAGGCTCCAAGGTTTATAGAAAAGGGGAAAGGATCCACAAAACATGTAAAAACCCAGATTTGTACTGTGTGCATGTGTGTTCAATTTCAATTTATATCCACTTGTATTCACCACCTTTACTCTCTACATGTTACTGAATTATGTTTTTGATTAATTAGAAGTAAATATTAAAAGATCAAAGATTAAATTTTAATTTGTCCTTTAAAAAAACAAAAGGGAACTGGAGCTTGTTTTCATGAACATATACTGTGCAGAATGCCATGTGTTTGTGTGTGGAGCTTAAACAGTTATTCAGCCACCATGATTGATGTGCCATGTGGGCAGATACCCATTCTCTCCATAAATTTTCCTTGACTTGCCTCACTCTCCCCTCATCTTTTCTTCACAGAGGTGATGTGCATACCTAGATGGGCCCTTTGATTCATATTATTATTATTATTAGTAGTAGTAGTAGTAGTATTAGTATATATAAATGAAAATGCAGTATTTAAAAGAAAAGCTAGTATAGAAAAATAGGAGTAAAAACATTACATTCACATTTGGCTTTGGATTTTGTGAATGGGCTTTGATATGCCAATCAATAAACATTGTTCAACCCTGTCTAAATTTTCCTTTCTTTGCCCAAGTTTGCCTATGTCTCGTTTGGATCTAAGCATGTTGGTTTCCCAGTAAATGTCTGGTTGCTTTCCATTTGATTTGGGGGATCTAGATAGTATTCCCAGGTAGATTTTTTTGGTAGGGAAGTTAGCTGCTTTTTCCTAAAGCTGAAATGGTGATTCCTTGCCACTGGAAAAAATGCCAAACATTTTTCTGTCTTGTGTGTCAGCTGCAAATTGAACTGAGTGGAAACTGTTTTATGAGAGATACATACACTTATTAGTGTCTGTCATATCACTAGTCATAGCCTCCCTGTCAAAATACCTTCATCCTTCCTTCCTTTCTACTTCCTTTTTGTTTGTTGGATTCTGAATGCTTCTGTGATATTTTCAGATGAAGAAATGCTTATGCAACCCTTTATCAAACAAATTACCCACCCCATGAGTTTTTCCTTTTTCTTGACTTCTGTTTTTGAGCCATTTCATGAGCCCCTTTTCTCCCCAGTTCACCTCGTTTATGTTATTTTATTTTGAATTTGGTTCTCTCTATTCACAATATTGCAAACACATTTCCTATGATTTATTAAAGGAAAAACATTGGAAATAGTTCATTTACAAGATTTATTTCTTCCCTATACAGTCCCAGGTCTGCACTCACAAAAATAAGACTATATGATTAAGAGCAATACAATTCTATAACACACAAATCTGTACCCAATTAAGCATTTAGAGTTTGAGATTCTGTTACTGCTGTTGAATTCTCCCCTCTCCCCTTGTCAAAAAAAACCCCACGCTCACATTCCTCTATTTTAGCAGTAAAAAATAAATAAGGTTTTAATTGGCTACTGGAGCTATGGAAACTTGTGAACTAACACTGAGCACATTTGACCTGCTTTAAGTTTCACAGTATTCTCCTTTTTGTTGCAAACACTTGACCTTTGCAGGCTACAAAATGTAGCAAGCTCACAATGCCTTGTAGCCAAGCAGAATCCTTTAAGATAAAGAAAAGAAAGAGTGACTACAGTTAATAGTGTATTAATAGTCAAGATCTATATACCTGGAAGCCAGTTTGACATATAATTGAACACGAAGTCTCTCTTTTGACAAAGCTTTGCAACATCACCTTTCACCTCTCATTGCCTCCCATGTTGCTGTCTTCAGGCAGCAGCCAGTAGAAATCATCTGGAGTCTGCGGTGCTTACGTCACAGAGGGACTTTGGACCATTGTCTCATTGTCTCATCAGGCTGAGCAGGTTCAAAGCCTTTCATTCCTCAGAAATGGAAGCAGCAAATCTGGCACACTGGGAATACCAAAGAAGGTGTACAGTATTTGATTAATAAAGTACTCCAATAGAATGTCTTTTCCAGAGCTGCCAGCATAATGGTTTTTAAAGCAAAATACTTCCATCTAGCCTTAGATTCAAAGCAAGTGAAAAGTATAGGATGCTCTGAATTTTCACTACAGTATAAAGCATTCTAAATAACCAAATATCCCCATGCATTGTTGCAAATCAACATCACAACAGGTTTGGGTGCAGGATTGTGGTGGAATATTAACTAGTCAAGTGTGCAGCTGCTGACATTTAAATACAAGCAATGTTGCTTGAGCAGCCCTGAGTTCAGTTGTATTATGTCTCCATCAGATATGATGAACAAATAAAGCAGAAAAGATCACAGGGAATTTAGAAAGTGATGCCAGCTCCGAAGATGAATGAAACATGCTAAAACTCGACCTTCTTATTAGCTCTTAATCATTAGATAAGATTTGTTCATTCATCACAGCAATGCACACACTATCCTATGTATTTACTCTCCTGTCCAAGGCAACAACCCAAGCAGGTTTAGATGAGAAGGAAGGATTAGCAACAAGCAGAATTTGGGTAGGATGGTGGGGGCGGGAGATGGTTAAAAAAATGGCTAATCCCTGAACCGTCTGTTCTGAGAGATGTCCTGTATTAAAATATTCAGTAAATTTCTTGGAATTATGAATGGGAGAAACTGCTTTTTCAGTTTTGCTTCTCCTTCCACCCCCCACAACTGTGAACGGGTTTATTAAATTAATGAATTAAAGCCTGGATCCTGGAAACTGGGAGAGGAAAGTCTCTCTCCTAATTGCATATGAGTCTCTAATAGTGCTGCTCATTACTCAGCTTATAACCAGGCCCTGTAGGTGAGTGGTTCCCATGTCTAAGAAATTGGCCAATTGATTGTCCCTGAGGGAGCAGGTATCACACTTTGGGGATCCTTCTGGATCCAACTTTGTCACTGGAGGCCCATGATGTCTCAGTGGCTAGGAATGCCTTTTATCTGCTTCTGCTGGAACAATATCTATGGCCGTTCTTGGACCGTGAAAGCTTGACCACAGAGTCTTTAGAGTCTTTAAAAAGGTCTTTAGAGGCTTTAGAGTCTTTAAAAATTGGATCACTGCAGTGCAGTCTGTACAGTCAGTGCACTTTGTCTGAAAACTACAGTTAGAGCAGAATGCTGCAGCATGATCAGTGGGAATGAGATTCTGTCAGCATAGAACACCCATGGCCCTGGGCCAAATTCAAGGTGCTACTATTAGTAACACCCGTAACAGCTTGGGACCAGTTTACCTTGCTCATCCACTCAACAGCTTCAACCTGTGTAACTGGCACTTTTGCAAATGCCGTATAATGTTGAGTTTCCTGCATTGCAGGGGGTTGGACTAGATTACCATTGGGGTCCCTTCCAATTCTATTATTCTTTTGTAAGTAATTGATCCGTCAGTGTGGCAGCACCTGTTGTCTGGAGCTCCCTGCAGATTAATATTAAGCAGGTGCCTTTACTGTACATTTTTAAAGGCTTGCAAAAACAAGAAATTGTTTAGGCAAGTCTACCCCGATGTGCTATTTTGACGTTTGTACATTGATAAATTTTATTTTGTCAACTTGGTTTTTTTAAGGTTGCTTAAAGTTTGATTTGTATTTTAATGACCATTTTATATTGTTTTTATGCAAACCAATTGTAAACTTTGCCTATTAAGAAGTTAATACTGTAAATGTTGTCAAATAAAAATAAATCCAGCGGGAGTGAAGAGATCATTTCAAAGCCACCTTAAATTTTCCAAGTCTTCTATAGTCTTTTTAAATCTCTTACGCCCTCGGCTGGTTCCATCATTTGTGATAAATCATGCAATTACAAACACATTTGATATGCATAATTTCTCAAGTTGTATTTAGAACTGTAGTAAACATCCATTAAGCTGCCAACTGTGCAATTTTCCTTTATGCAAAAGTTTGCAAACAATTTGAAAAGCCAACCATATAGTTGGCATTAACAACTGCTGTTCTTTCAGCAAGGATGGAAAAGGTGGAGCAATGCACTGTGGGGGTAGTTATTACCCTTTTTAAAAAATAATACACACAAAAACAAAGGACTATAATGTGACCTGTTTGAAGCAAGGGATGGCGCCTTGTTGGTAGTTTACAGAAATGTAAGAATTAGCCTGCCTTCTCTGCCAACATAAGCATACCCAAGCTATATGTGTTGTGATTCTGCAAAGTGAGTGTAGAAATTGATTAAAAAGTCAGATTCCTGTGAAACTTGATATTATTATTTCCTTCTTTATTTATTTATTTCATCTAAGAAAGAAAAAGGGAAAAGGGGTTATGCTAATTTGAAAATGCTGACCTGGGTTTTATGTACTTGAAGAAAGACGGAAACACAGTGGTTGTGGGTGTTGGCTCTTGTGCCATGTGTGGCTCCTGCCTTCTTAATTTCTTGGTAGAAGCAGAATAAATTATGCAAAGTATCACAAATATGCATATGCAGTTTGCAGAACTCAGCATTTCTATATGTTGAATGTTGGTGTTCAGTAGTAGTACACGTTGTTGTTGTCGTTTAGTCATGCTTAACTCTTCGTGACCTCATGGACCAGAGCACGCCAGGCACTCCTGTCTTCCACTGCCTCCCGCACTTTGGTCAAACTCATGGAGCACACGGAAGTCTGCCTAAAATGGAGCAGGAAATAGGATGAGAGATATCAAGGTACATTCGCTGTTCTAAAAGTAGGAATAATTCAACACTTTGAGCGCATATTGGGCATTGTGCGGCTCCTGAAGCTTCCAGTCTTAGGTCTTTGCCCATATTAACAGGCATTCCTGGAAGACACTGATTTTATCTAGACCAGGCATCCCCAACCTGTGGCCCTCCAGATGTTTTGGCCTACAACTCCCATGATCCCTAGCTAACACAACCAGTGGTCAGGGATGATGGGAATTGTAATCCAAAACATCTGGAGGGCCGAAGGTTGGGAATGCCTGATCTAGACCTTTTTCAGTCTGGGTTTGTGGACTGAACTGTCCTTTGCTCTGGTGGATGACCTTTATTGAAAGAGAGAGGGTACGTGTGACCCTGCTTCCTCTTGTTTGATCTCTCTGTGGCTTTTGACACCATCAACATGGTATCCAGACTAACTCCATGGGATGGGCATCAGGGGTGCTATACTCCAGCGGAGTTATTTTGCAAACTAGTGTTGAGGGATGCTATTCGGCTCTCTGACAATTTTGTCATGGGGTGCCACAAGTAACTATATTGCCACCAAAGCTGTTTAGCATTGAGAGTGGTCATTAGGGGATTTGGAGTGAGATGCTACCAGTATCTATTTCTCCACTGCATGTGAGTCGGGTATATTTTTGCAAGCCTTAGACTGGAGAGGTCAGTTATGCATTCTGAATGTGGTCGCACTTGTCTATAGAAGTAGGTGCATAGACTGGAAATGCACCAGGATTCATCTTTTTCTCTAGAGGCCCAGGTGATCTCAGTGCCTAGGGAGGCCTTTCACCAGCTCTGGCTTATAGCTACAACCATTCCTGGACAGAGATAACTTGGCCATGGTAATCCAGGCACTAGTGGCCTCAGTGATTGATTGCTGTAGCAGTGGCTCCAGTGTTCTTTTCCTGACTGAACATCTCCTGCCCTGAAGTCATCATTAGCCCCTCTGTGGAAAATGTTGGTACCTGTTTTCTGCACTGTTTCCCAGTAGGGCTAATCACAGCTTCAGGTGCAGAGGAGATTTAGACCAGAAAAATAGTGCAGGGGGAAAAGGTTAAACTCCATCTCACTAGCATGCTGTTCTGATCAAAACTGGAGCCCCTCTCGCCACAGAATGCAAAAATAAATATTGTCAAGAATATTGCATTTCTGTATCATATCACAGTTCTTTGGGCTTAAGATGCATTGTAAACAATGAAAGTCTTGTAGTGTCATGCCAACATATTGTCAGTCTATTTAATTGGGCTTTGCAGCTTGTCATATCTGAAGCAGAGTTTATTTCTAACTAATTAAAACCCAGGTTATTTCATATGAATAGAATGATACAAAAGAGGAGTAATTATAATAACCAAGGTATCCTGGCTCAGTCAGTCATCATGTTTTATTTATTCTAGAAGTGATTAAAATATTTAGAGAACAAATATTTAGCATGAAGCAAATAACTGTATGTGAGAGAGAAATGTTTTATATTTGTTGCGTCCTTTCATTACTCCTTTACCTGCTCAGCAAATGATTGTGGCTAAAATAAACATAAAAAGCTGATACTAGAACTTATTTTTAGTGTAGATTTCAATATAAATCCAGCATTCATCTTTGCTGTTTCTGCATGTATTTAGACTAAATTAACGATGCACCCACAGTTCATATAGCAACTCTACATCTGCTCACCAAGCACAAAATGACCTGAAGATTGTTAACTCCTCAAAGAAAGAGATATTGGGCTGAATAAGACAAAATGTTTGTTGTAGCTTTTAATGCATTGCTATACCGACTAAATTGTTCACCAGTAATTCAATTAACGTTTCACATGTTCAGGACTGTTTAGAAAGGAGTAGAGGGGAGAGAGAAGATGATGGCCAAGCTAGAGGATACATAAAATATCTCTGCCTTAACATACATGACTTCTAACAGAAAAAGGACTTGATCCTGCTGCCTGTCTTGTGGGAAGGGGGTATTTAGCCCCCTTTGCCCCACTCTGGTGCTGATCTGGAGAAGACCTTTGGAACCTGCAATTTGCTCAGGAAAGCATCCCATTTTCAAATCAAACTGAAGCTGGTTTGGGAAAAACTCAGGAAAACACAATATTTATCAAGCTGCAGGATAAATGTGGATTATGGCTAATGTTGTGTGTGCATGGCTTCACAAAATAGAGATGGGAGTACACTGGATGCAAATTTAAATAGGGTGCATGTACACAGCCTAAGTTAGACCTGTTAATTTCAGTAGGTTTACTCTGAGTAAAACGTAGTTGAATACCACCAGATATGTATACATACAGATGTGCACTTCAGACTCATTTTAGGAACATGTCTAACTACCAACACATGCCCATTATGACTTTTTGTTTGATCTTTTTCTTGGAATGGTAACCTCCCTCTACTCTGTATTGCCATATTGCAAAGTGCTTTAAAATTTCTACAAATTTCAAAACAGGATTTGCATGTTTAATGGGAGGCTGGTTGTTTCTTAAAACCATGTGTAGCCCTGATTGCATGATAGAATTTAATTATGCAGGTTTCTATATTGTGAGATGAGCTGTGGGTACTATTTCAATGTTTGGCTTTAACATTTCAGTTTGAAAAATTGTAAAAAATTCTGTTGTGATAACTTATTTAAAAAAGAAAAACCAATAAAATATCCCATCAAAACATAAGCATTTAGAATTACTCAGTTATATAAGACTACTACAAGTTCAATCTATCATTTCCTTTATGCATTCATAAATACTAATATCTGAATCTTAGGGCTTTGGCTAGCCCTAATTTGAATATTCAACTAAAATTTAGCTGCACATAATCCATGAAGTGTGCTAATGAATTAATGAATTATTAATGCTAATTGGTTTTCCCAGTGTGGTAAAAGCTTTTGGTGTGTTTTTTAAATTAAAAAAAACCACCCAAACCCAATCTGGCAGATCTTACTCCCACCTCAGTTTAATTTAACACTGCGTGGTATGGATTACAGGCTAAGAAGCTCATTAATCCAATTGAACCAAATAAATGAAGGCTGATTTATGATTGCCTGCCTACTTTAAACATAGTGATTAGATGGCTAAATAGCATTTTGTGGTCAGGCATGTAAACTGCAGTAGTCAGGCATAGTTAGCCGATGTTACCTGCACCAGATTACATGGACATGTTAATTGTTGGCATCTGTTTGTTTTGGGAGACAATGGAAGAGTGTGCCTTTATGGGTGAAGTCAAACCTTTGGAGAGTTACAGCACCTGGTGTGGCTGTAGAGACCAATACAGGAGAGACAGGTTTTGCAGCTGTGGCAGATGAAGGAGTCTGGTTTTTGCTGCTACAGGTGCGCCATGGCACTTCTTGTCTCTGCACTCCTCCCAGAGGTAATTTCTCCTTTAGTCACTGCTATGGGTAAATGACCTGACTGACTGTCTCCATTATAGGACTGTGAAATCCAACTATCCCAGGAATAGGGTTTTATCAGTTCCAGCCCCGAGGAAGCATCTGTAAATATGTGCCAGTGGACATGATCCTTCACTTTTAGAGAAGTGTAAGGCCTTTTATTTAAATTAGTTTTGGGGTTGAATAGTAATTAACTGTGCCTGTTTGATCTGCTGCAGTGCATATTTGTTATGACACATCATGGCTTTTTTTACTTTTGTTAAAATTTGTATGCCACCTCTGTCATTAAGAGGAAGTGTGATGAAAATCAATGAATAAATAAAATCTGTTCTAAGGAGAGTGAAACCCTGTGAAACAGCCCAGAACAGAGGGATTTGATTAATCTGGTCCGAAGGGCACATGCTGCTGATCACAGGATATAAACGACACTATATTAAGAGACAGTGTAATTAAGATATTTTGCATAGAAATTTGGAAGTATGCCTGGCTCTATGCCTTGCAAGATATGTATGTGTTTTATTGACAAAGCTTTTATGTGGTGATGAGACCTGCTGTGCTAGAGAGATGGACATGAAACATTTACTTATTCACAGCTTCACAATGCAGTGAGGATTGACATGCAGCTGAAAGGTCAAGGAGATTCTCTGAAATTAATTTTCTTCTAGGTTAGCGTACTGCTGCTATTGTTTATTTGCTTGTGCCAGTGTTGCTGTCCTTGGTACCAAAGTGCATATTTCATGCATTTAGCTGTATAATTATTTAGTTTGTACTTCATTCCTGCAAGATACAACCTTGTTGTAAGCATGATATTGGTTATTTCATTGTGCAACATAGAATCATAGGATTGTAGAGTTGGAAGGAACACCAGGGTCATCTAGTCCAACCCCCTCCAATGCAAGAATCTTCTACCCAACATGAGACTCAAATCCACGATCCTGAGAGTCTCATTCTCTGTTGACTGAGCTATCCCAGCTGCCTAACAGTTTAAATACAAAATGATACATTGTACTGAATCATCACTTCCTTTGTAATACAACCCTGCAGGTTTGTCAATCTCCAACTTGTGTATCTGGTCAATTTCCCAGAATTCTCTTGGGGAATTATTTGACTGATGGTGATTCTCTCTGCCAGAATAGGAAGCTGGCCTTCACTATTGACTTTTAAATCAAGCACCTTGGTTTACTGCAGAGCAGGATGAAACTTGCAAGAAAAATTGTGCTGAATTAGATAGGACATGTTAGAAAGCCCATTTTTAGGCAATGAGGTGGTAGACTCAAGGATACAAATAAAAGCATATTTGTTAAGGGAAAATTTATGATTAAAATGCTTTGTACAGAAATGTAGATGTCTGTCACACTCTATGATGTATGCTAGCTGTGTGTGTTTTCTGAAAAAGCCAGGTTCTTTTTGACTACCATTGAATCAATGGTGTCCCATCCAATAGAATAGTTATGGGTCAAGAATGGCTTGCTACAGTTTAGGCTATCCAACTCTGATGAAGCAGTGCATTTGTTGTGATGTGTTTTTTTTAATTACTTTGATAAAATTTCATCCAGGCCTACTTGGCAGATAAAAAGGGGACTTCTGTCTAAGATGTCGATGGTACCAGGTTTTTTGTACTTGCTTTGAGTCAATTGCACCTCAAGAACATTGGCCCATGCTTGTGTCTAAGAGAAGTGTCACGTGTTTGCTTGCTACTGACTGATAAAGGCAAGTTGGGGTTGGCTGGGGAAGTATTTGCATGAGCTTGTCAGACCTGTGTCTTTTTATGAGGGAAACTTGCTGTTTTCTCATAAGAACAGGAACTAACTTCTTGTTTAAAATATGTCATCCTGGCACTCTCAAAGTGACCCATATTACCCTTCCCTTTCCTGTGCATGTCTTCTGTCTAAGGTACATTTGGCTGGGATGTGGTCTCTGCCCTCAGACATCCATCTGGTTTCCTCATTGCTATAATTTTATCTCTTACATACTTCTTTTAAATTCTGGAAGGCATTCCATTTGCTTGACATATTGTATGTCCAGTGTTATTGATGATCTGGCACCTTGACTTAGTTCTGTGTTTTAAAGTTTTGTCCTTTTCTTTTTAAAATGTAGGGGATTTATTTTGGTCTGTTTTGTTTTGTAGATGACGTGGACTTTTCCAAGAAGAGAAGCAGAATAGAAATCCATTTGTTTTGTTTTTTTATGCTGAATTTTATTTATTTTAAATTACTGGGTAGAGACTCTAATTTGAAAACATAGCCTTTCATAAATGGTGGTTTTTGTTTGAAGGAATGTGCTGAGGCTAAAATACAGGAAAGTATAAAGGGACTAGATTGCACTCAATTAAACTAATGGGGAAGCAGGAGAGACCTGTCTGGTGCTGAAACTACTGTAATATGGTCAGTGCATCTCGGTTTCATAGCATTTCTTTATTCTGAGCCTTTGCCATTTATATCTTCATGAGGGAAAGGTCAATGGCAAATTTAATCTGGCCATACGCTGGGCACAAGTTTTAGAACTGAATTCTCAGTTTCGTACCACCTTCTTGTTGTAGACATTGTGCCAGAGACAATGTGATGTGGCCTGGCTGAAAGAATCAGGTGTTTGTTGTTGGTGTTCGTTTTGTGTTGTGATGTTTTTTGTTACCATCTGTCAACTCACTTTTAGGGTTTGCTTATTTCAGTAGGCTCCATTATGAAGGCTGCTCAAGAGCCATTGTGCATAAATTATTCTGCTTGAAAGTCACTTTCTGCAGAGCCTTATTTTCTTTGGTACTGGGTTAGAGAATCTGCACACAATGTGTTTGAACCACGTGAAAAGAAGTTTTTATGTTACAACCAGTGTGTGGGGCACTCTCATGTGGAAGCAATATTTAATGGTTCTCACCTAGGAAATAGTACACTAGAAATCTTTATTTCTATTTTCTTCTGAAAAGGGAGAGGGAAGAGGTTCTGAAATAACTGAGACTGTTTAACTATGCAATATCTGCATTCCATTCTTCATAGGTAAACAAGATAACAGACTGCTGCACTTACAAAAAATGAGATTTTTAAGGCTGTCAAATTATAGCCAAGCACATATCCCATATGGAGCAGGGAACACACACAGTCCTGGGTTTAGATTTATATAATACCGCAGAAAATGAAAAAGAAATGCTTGTAAATAGTATTGAATGATAATGGAGCCATGAGAAAAATCAATTCATTTCTTTAAAGTGCTCTGCTTGCATCACAAATCTGAAGTGGACCTTTTAAATATTTATAAAAACTGTGTTGGCTATAAAAAGTATGTCAATCTAGCTTTGAAAAAAACAACAGCAGCAGTTTTTATATAAACAATTAAGCAACTACTCTGTTATATATTTTTAAACCTATTTTCTTTCCCCATGACCTCAATATTGCAATGCTGATCCCTCTGATAAATGGCTGGATGAATACATTTTTAGGCATGTCTTGGGAATGGAGCAACTTGTCTGCTTTGTAGATTGATACGTAGTATAAATAAATTATCCTTAACCTCTGACAACTGCAGGTGAAACCAGACTTTGATTTTGAAGTGGGTTTTAGTAGACACTCTCTGTATTCCAAGGCATTTTGTGTTTAGCTTGCAGAATGTATGGTCTTAATGTGACTTACTGTGTCTCACTGGACATTTGGATCACATGTTTAGGTTTTTCCGCAGGCTGTGACTAGACATTACAGCGCTGAGGAATTCTGGTTTTCAGCAGCAGTGGTGAATCTCCTCCTTTAACTTGTGGCCTGGTTTGCACAGGATGGTAAACCATAGTTCCTTCCCTGCCCCAAACTGTGCCACATAGAACAAGACACAAGTCAGAATCTTATGGTTTGTTTCCTCCAGACAAACTGCGAGTTGTAAGCCAATGTTTATGCTTGTGGTTTGTTTGGAGGAACCAAACCACAAACCAGGTTCACACATCATGACAAGCCAGATGGTGGCTTGTTTTGGGGTTGTTTCCTCTCCTCTATGGTCGTGTTGGGAGTTGGGAAGAGCAAATCTCTTGAATGCGTTAAACTATAGCTTATTTTCAACCAAGGTCTTAATGTTGCATCAGAATGTAGCCAGTTTCTAGTAATACAAAACATGTGATAGGACATTACTATAAAAAAATTTGAACCAAATCTGGCTCATCCTTTTAAATACATTCTGTACAGCTTCCTTAATTAAAGACAGCGATGGAGTTGTTTCTCTATTCTGCCTCTATTTTTAGTTTCTGGTTGTTTCATTATTCTGTCTATGAAGAGACAATTCTTTTTGAAAAAGGTGTATTGAGTCTAGGGGTGGGGGAGTGTAGCCCAGTTGCAACATCAGATCAGATCTCCCTGATTCAAATTGTAATCCCCCTGCACAGTCATTTGCCCTTTTAAAAACACAGGGAAATCCTATCACAGATATCCTGATACCACAAAGCTGTACTTTTGATATGAAAATTAGTCTCCACCTCACCACCTTATATGTAATAGGGTAGGCGCATGATGAAATGGCATGATCGTCACAGTCATGTGTTTTGCCTTTAGGCAATTCCTGCTGCAGTTCCTTCAGTTCTTTAGGCAATTCCTTGTGATATCATGAGATGTGTGATAGAATCTGTAAAGTGCTCTTCCAGCAATATTTTAAAAAGGACAAAACCTACTCTACTGAACTAAAAGGTAGCAAACAGGCCAGAGATCTTATTATAGTATGATCCCAATTAAATCAACCCAAAGGCTGGATAAACTAAAATGCCTTAGCCTGGCATCTTAAAGCCAGCAGTGATAGTACCAGGTGTGCTTCCCTAGGGACAGCTTTCCACACGTCGTGTTTCTCGCAATGTGACCTTCTGCACATCCCTTGGAGGGGGCACTCTGTCTCTAATGAATGCAGGATCCAGGTAGGTTTATATGGACAAAGATTTTCCCTGAGGTGTTGGGGTCCTGAGCTTCATAAATCTCTATAGGCCCAAACCAGCAGTTTAAACTGAACCTGGAAACTAAATGATTATCCTGCTTAGCAGCGTCATACTGCATACACAGTTAACACTAACTGTTTCTTTCTAAAGCTTCTGTTGCAAAGCATCCCAAAGAGGGCATTCCCTGGACTATATGCAGTGGCTACTGCCTTATACTACCTGGCTTGAGCTACTCATGAGAAACTGCCTACCTTCGGAAAATGCAAAAGTCACCATGTGCAGTTGTCCCTTGAACAAACTTGAGTTACTGTTTCCTTATTCTATTTTAAAATGAGTCATTGTTGGGAGAACCAGTGCCTTTACCATATTTGCCATCCATTGCTGTGGTCACTTTTTGTAACACACAAGCAAAATGCTCTGTTTCTGAACAGTGGTGGTGCTGTGTTCCTCTATTTGAACTAACCCTCCAATGTTGTGAACTTTTCCATCCCTTGCATATGTGATCTGAAAGGGTGGTCCTTTTGCTGTGCTGTAGAGTGCTTTTAAAATTGCTGTGCTAATTTTTCTGGACTGGCTTTTGTGCTGTTTCCGCAGAGACACGAGGAGTGAATTTGCCCTTTTCAAAATGGCTATTTCTCGTGTTTTTATGGGAGTAGAGCAAAACTGTCTTCCCTCCCTAAAACTGGGTTTTTGATAAATTTGGATTGCCTCGCCATCTCTGTGGCTTTGTGAAAGGTTAAGTCCTCCATTAGCTTCACTATTCAATAAACCTCTTTGCCTAGAATCCCAAGCACTAGTCTTTCTCCCTAGTGCTCCTTTTTATCAGTAAACTGAGTTTGTACGAGCTTGTTTGTACGAGACTCTTTACAAATGGTTCTGCTTTCTTCAGGTTTCTGAGCAGTCCTTCTCATAAACCACATTTTCTTCTTTGAGTTGAAATGGACATAAAACTTGCCCAAAATAGCTTTGGCTGCTTTGGTGCCTGTTGTTGGAGGTTTGCAGATAGACTAAAGATGTTGCACAGGTCTGATGTTCTGAACTGGTGTAATGCTTTTGTTGTGTTTTGGCATAGTCCCTATTACAGTCAAGAATGGGTGGGATGCAAGCATGATAAATATTCCATTAACCCCCATTATTCCTACTTTGCTCAGGAATGTTGTAATTAGGACTTGTTCTTGTTGCAATGCTGAAAATTAAATGTTCCCTTTGGGTTAGTCCCACTGTGGAAATGCCAATGATAAAGTTGACTTTAACAATTCTTCAGAGGTTTTTAAAATTATTATTTCCCAGACAATTTCTTCCTTCCTGATAGTAGCACTTGTAAAAATCCCATGGTAAAGTGATCAACCGCATGCAACAAAGTGGAGGTGTGATTGCTAGAATGTAGGTGGAAGAAAACTTGGAACAAAGCCAACACAATTTGGAAATGATCAAAGTCTACTTGATGCAATCAGTGGTGCTGTGAGGGTACAACAGGAAGCTCCCTAAATGCAGCAGAGGTGGGGTATATTTTGAAGTAAGTTAATACTGCCACCTAAAGAGGCCTCTCCCTGTAAGACCCTTAAATAATGAGTCTGAAATCTCTCTAACTGCACCATTGTGTGTAGTGATGGCATCAAAATGTACATGCTGTATTTTCCCACATCATTGTCTCTGCAGTGTCAGTAAGTTGAGCTAATTTGGATAATACCTGGCTTTAATAGCTATTGAGCCATTATTTGTTAATGCTGATTATTCCATAGTTCACAATGACATGTTTGTAAAACATTCATTGGATAAATTATTTCAGAGCAGTGTACTGTATGCAGTTTCTGTATCTAAGGTGTCCTGAACCTCTTGGCTATTGGTTAGAGAAGTCAGTACCTGTAGCTTGAAAATATGGATCAAATCCTTTGAGCTGAATGGCCAGCCAGTGATCTTGACCTTTAGACTTTTGTTCTTCATAGATAAATCTAACCAGACTGCTGTCAATTGTCCCCCTTCCCCCTTAAAAAATTAAGTAGTTTTGGGGGGGAAGTGTGTCCCTATTGTTCAGTTTCAAATCTTTCCTTTCTCAAGTAAGCTGTTAGAATGAGGTGGTAGCTAACCATTTCTAGGGTCTCTTTGATAAGGCTGGCGTATCTGGGTCCACTTTAATCTAATTTCAGATCTGATTTTGAGAGGGAAACCAGAAGAAATGGGAGTGTTGGCTTGCACCTGAATTTGTAGACTTCTCAGTGGCATTTCCAGATAACTTATTTGGGTTGCACCTTTGCTCTGAATAAGATCTGTTGTGAAGTTGCTTACTTCTTGAAAAGAAGTGGTGTTACCTGCATGTTTAGTTGGCTTCTGTTTCAGCCTCAAATGTTAAAAATGATTTTCATGTGCCTCTCCTAAGTGACAGATTGTTCCTCCTTTGATTTACAGAAGCTTGGTGGAGTCTCTTCCATTGCTAATGAATATATTGTGATATTTTATTTGTTTACTTCTCTTCAAACTGCAACTTTTCCTCACTTCAGTGAACAAAAAGATCAAAAGAGTATTTTCCCCCTTTTTCTTTTAGCTGTCTCCGTAATGAGGTACAGTGCTTCATCATTTGGATTTGCTGTAAGTAGTCTCTTAACTGAAATGTACATTGCACAACTCACTGGTCCTGAATGGGGTTACTGTGCCCCTGAAGGACCAGGTGCGCAACCTGGGAGTCATTTTGGACTCACACCTGTCCATGGAGGCGCAGGTTAATTCTGTGTCCAGGGCGGCTGTTTACCAGCTCCATTTGGTACACAGGCTGAGACCCTACCTACCCCACGGACTGTCTCGCCAGAGTGGTGCATGCTCTAGTTATCTCCTGCTTGAACTACTGCAATGCACTCTACGTGGGGCTACCTTTGAAGGTGATCCAGAAACTGCAATTAATCCAGAATGTGGTAGCTAGACTGGTGATTGGGAGTGGGCGCCGGGACCATATAAAACCGGTCCTGAGAGATCTACATTGGCTCCCAATATGTTTCCGAGCACAATTCAAAGTGTTGTTCTGACCTTTAAAGCCCTAAACAGCCTCGGTCCTCTATACCTGAAGAAGCGTCTCCACCCCCATTGTTCAGCCTGGACACTGAGATCCAGTGCCGAGGGCCTTCTGGCAGTTCCCTCAGTGTGAGAAGTGAGGTTACAGGGAACCAGACAGAGGGCCTTATTGGTAGTGGCGCCCGCCATGTGGAATGCCCTCCCATCAGATGTCAAGGAAATAAGCAGCTATCCTATTTTTAAAAGACACCTGAAGGCAGCCCTGTTTAGGGAAGTTTTTAATATTTAATGCTGTATTGTTTTAACACTCAATTGGGAGTGTTCTCCACAAGTAGGACCATGGGGAAAGCAGCCCCCTCCTCTTCTTTCCAGTAACTGATGTTCAGAGACAAGCTGCCTCTCAATCTGGATGCAAAACGCTTCCACCATGTTTGGTATCCATATGCACCCTACCCATAAACTATCCTCTTGTGGATGCTCAAATTGTAGCCAAATTAATAAGAAGTCTACATTCACATTCCTCTTCCTTTTTACATAAATATCATCGTGCTTGTCAAGCAGGATGTAGAAAGATCAGTAAGCATTTAACAACTTATTTTGTGGTAGGGGTATCTTGTAGTAAACTGGTAGGGAACAACTGTATAAGTTCCTTTCACTTTCTTGACTGACACAATAAAGGCTGCATTCACACTACCCATTTAAAGCACAAACCCTCCTCCCAGGAATCCTGGGAACTGTAGTTTAAGAGTTCTGGGAATTGTTTCTCTGTGAGTGAAAACTACATTTCCCAGGATTCTTGGGGCAGGGGAATGTGCTTTAAGAGGACTTTAGATGTGTGGTGTGCATGCAGCTGAAAGTCTGTCATGTCTTTTGTTTGCGGCACAAAGGATGAGCTTGTTGTAATCTGTGCTTATCCCTGCTTTTATTCAAATGATTTATACTAAGTTAGTCTACAGGCTTGTGGCACAGTTAGCAGTGTATTGATTTAAGCATGGCTTGCCTTAATGGCTTCTGTATCTTTTCCAGTTTGATGCCACTTTGGATGTGCTGTCGTCGGTGATAGTTCTGTGGCGCTACAGCAATGCAGCTGCAGTACATTCAGCGCACAGAGAATACATGTGAGTACTTGTGGTTATTTTTAGCACTTATCAAAGTCTGAGATGATAAAGGGCAGGGGGGGGGATATCTGCTTTCTCTGGGCAGTTTCCTCTTTATGTTCTCCTAGCAACATAATAGCCATACTGATATGAGCCTTCTTGCTCTTATACAGCTGACTACAAAGTCTTATTTATTTAAACCTTTTTATCCTGCCTTTCACAACGAGTTTCTAGGTGGTGTGCAACAAAATTTAAAATAGGTACACAACACATTGAAATGATAACCCAGGGCAGGATTAATAACCCACTGGAATTAAGTATCTGTAACAACCTAGGAGCAGAAATATGTTTTCAGTAAGCTCGAGCTCAAGGGTTGTGTGCCATTCCATAGAGAGGTTGTAGATGTTAAACAGCATGGGGGATACAATTGAATTCTGTGGATCCATGGAAGTTTTTGTTTTTTAAAAAAGGGGTGGTCTTACCACTGTCTCCTTGAGCAGGCAGGGAACATCCCCTCTCACCAGGAGTTGTTAATCACCTCCCTGGCCTAGAAGCTTGTTTTTATAAGCAGTGAGGTTCAAGTGTGCAAGTGGTTACCTAGACTGAATCAAACACCTTCCAGATGTCCTCAAGCCTTATTAACTGAAACACAACATGCCTAGACAGTGCCCTGGACACCTTTTGATACTGTAACGGTAGAGGCAAGGTCCTGGCAGAGGCAAGGTCCTGGCAGAGGCAAGCAATTTTATCCTCAAAATGCTTTCCGAACAAGTTTCAGCAAGATACTATCAGTTCCACCATCTCATTTGGGCCAGACTGTAAAAGGCCCCAAACTACCTGGGAAAACTCTGAGGGGTGGTACAATGAGGTTGCAATGGAGGCAGAAAAATAGGTCTCCCTTGCTGCCTTTACTGACCACTTAGGCTTGATAATGAGCACTCACCATTCATCTGTGTTCAAGTCATTTCCTGGTGTGTTTCATTGCCCAAAGCTCTGGTGTATAGCAAGGAGTCAATGGGCTCCAAAAAGTGGCAGAGCAAGCTCAGGGACTACCAGGTCAATGACTTGTGCTATTTGCATATTTCACAAATCTGCCAGAGCTTCAACAGGAGTGCCAGTCACATCGGCTCTAACTCCCTGCCAGCCACCTGGAAGCCAATTGAATCCATCATAATCTAAGGGCAGATCATCCTGATAGGTCCCTCATCTTCAGAAGGGAAAAGGTGCTGAAAGCTTAAAACTCAGCAGGAGGTGATCCAGCTATGACTAGGGACTGATGTCAATATCTCCCACTTTCCAATAACCCTCTTCCTGCCCAAGAAAGAAAACGGAGGCCAGAGTCTCTCCTGCCACATGTTGGCACAGCCCCATGACTTATCTTTTCGTTGTTGCAGTGCTGTGAGAGTCTAATGACAACTTAAGCACCAAATACCATATTTTTCAGTGTATAAGACTCGGTTTTTTAACCAAAAAAATAGGTTTAACATTGGGGTTCGTCTTATACACGGGTATTGCTGAGGGGTGTTTTCTTAATTTGGAGTCCCCCAAAATAGGGGGCGACTTATACATGGAAAAATACGGTACTTTTTTGAAAATAGAGTACAGAACTAATTAATACTGTTAAATCAGTCTGTAACTGGGAGCCTTGTGACACATTGAAGATTAACACACCTATTATAGCATAAACTTTTTGGATCACAGTCCACTTCATTAGATGTGCTGTGGGCTTGAGTCCATGAAAACTTATACCATAACAAATTTATTACTCTTTAAGGAGCCGCAAGGCTCTTTGTTATTTTTGTTATGATGGACTAACATGCTATGCCCTTTGAAATGAATTTTTACTGTTATTGGAAAACTCATCAAAATCCCTGTCACGTATTAAATTAACTCACAGTACTCTGATAAACACAAAGAAGCATTCAGGATTTCGAAAAACAGATGATTATACAGTATGTATAAGCGTGATGACCAGCTGTTCACTGCCTTTTGCTTAATGTAGTTTACTCTAACCAAGGACATAGCAATAGAATTTTTAAAGCACGAGAACTGCACATGGGGTGAAGATCTTTTCTTGTCTACTTGATCATTGGCATTAACCAACAATTTTCAGTTTGTTTTGTAAGAAAGAAAGACAAATGCTGCATGGATATTAAATCATCCGTTATTTTTCACAATAGTTGGTGTTTCCAAATGAAAGGTGGGCTACTTGCGCTATAGAACAGATGGAAACTCCACACCTTCATGGAGGCTTACTGGTTGTTAAGCCAAAGAGATATACAAAGTGTGCAAAGATTTTGTAAGGGGTGTTAAAATGTATTAACTCCCTAGGTTACAACCTAATGGACATGAGTAAGACATCAGTTCCAGTAAGTGGGGATGGGCGCAGTGTTATACAAGTGGTCTACAAGGTGTCTCTTTCATGGGTGAGGAAGATGGTCACTCTTCCTCCTTCAGCTCTATGTACTTTTCAAGGGCGGAAAAAAGACAATAGCCCTCCCCACCTCATGACCAGGGGTGCAGTGTGTCAGGGCCAGGGCTGAGGCTTCATGGGCACCAGGGGAAGACCTCAGGGGCATTATTGATTCCACAGGCACCTTGTAGCACACACTTACTGCTGAGCAAGACACTTTGGACTCAGTGGGACTTCTGAGTAGCTACACATAGGACTGTGTTGGTAAAATGATTGTTGAGCTAGAAATGTGCAGTTGTTCCCTCAACTCTGAGGAATAGTTTTACCTTCCATTTTAACAAATAAACTCCTGATTAACTTTTTATAACCACAGAAATTGCACCTGGACCTGGCTATCCTGATTTTGATGGTGGCCAGGAGTACTTTTCTTAGCTGAATAATCTTCTTACAGTTTTTAAATTTGTTTCACCCATAGCTTGAAGTTTAGATTCCTGAGGTACACACAATAATGCCCCCCAAAGATGTTGAAAATTTTGCGGTGAACATAAATCAAAGATACAATGCAGTCAAAAGGTTCAGCAATCTAAAATCCCATTGACCTCAATGGAAATGTGAAGCACATGCTTAGTTGTTGCGTGAGAATTTTGACATACTATTTTAGCTATTGCTTCGTAATAAGAATAAAAGGTTTTGTTGATTTTGTTTTTTTAAAAAAAGGTCGTATGTTAGAAGAAACGAGGTCTGTTTTTCTGGCAGCTTTGACAGCCAAGCTGTAAGATAAGCACAAGCTAACAAAGTCGACTAGCTAGTTATTTGACTGATATTGACAATCTTGTTTTATTTAGCAAAATGTCATCACAGTTCAGTGAATATCCTAATTAACTATGCGGAGAGCTGCTAAAATTGGTTTCAACTCCATGTGAAAGATATCTTGCTACGCAGAGTGCACTAAAGGAGGGAGGCAGCATAATATCTATGTACTGGCAAGTTTAAGTGAAAACATTTGTACAGATTGTATTTGCATGCTTCACTAATTTTTACTTAATGCTTAATTCTGTTGCCACACCTCTGCTGCTCTCAGCAGATTGAACTGAGAGTAGTAATTACCAAGGGCTTTATTATATACCCATTTAGACATATTGTTACTACATTCCGTTTGCTGGAAAGTCAGCGGGATTATAATTAGGCAGGGAGATATCCCACACTGGATATTTTACAGAAGATAAATTATATAAACTACATTTTGCTCTTCGGTTAGAGAGAGAGATGTACTGTAAAACAGCAGTTGCGACAAAACATTGCTGAATATTCTTACATGGAACAGTGGAGTGGTGAACAATTTTCAGAGGGATGACTCAAAACAGAAAAGCCTTTGAGATTGGAAAGCCTGAGGGCTAGCCTCACAAAGAGATGCATACAACTTCACACACTGTTATAGATTCATTCTTCTCCAGTAGGTGGTCATCATGACATCACAGCTCTGCATGTAGGATGAAGGAATCATCTGAAAGAGAAGGGGATGCTACCACCACATGGGCATAAAAACACATTTAGGGTTCTATTCACTCAAAACAGAACAAATAGAAGCATCCTATACATCCCTAATCCAGAGATGGGGAACTGTGGTCCTCCAGATGTTGCTGGACTGTTAATTCCTAACATTTTGGTCTATAAGCAATGCTGGTTGGGGCTGATGGGAGTTCAATCCATTGTAATATGGAGGGCCATAGGTTCCCTACCCCACCCCTAGTTTTGATGGCTCCCCTAGACATTTGCCTATTTGAATAATTGCTTTGAAGTTACTAGTTTTGTTTTTGACATTGGGCCACTTCAGATTTATAGAATAGACAAAACATTGTTTATCTACTACAGTGGGCATAGTAATGTGTTGGTGGGAGCTGCATGCTTAAAAGAGGCAAGATAAATGCCACCCAGAAATTATGGCTAGCTGAAATTCCTGGTGCTTCTTACTGATGTATTTTCAGACATGCGGTTTGCTTCCACACATTTGTTAAATTGTAGTGGAGAGGCATCACTTATCTTACCAACAATTAACTGTTTTCTCTTTCATGAATTTCTCCCATCCATCCCCCACATTTGGTAATTTTAAAGCAATTTTATTGATTCAAGTGGAGTCAGTCAATGAAAAATGACTTTCATGAGTGTATTGCCATTATATATTATTTACAGGCCACTGTATCTTAATTTTGAGCAATAAGGAGGACATACTCATGGCCTCATTTTGGATTTTTAGGAACTTCTGCAATTTCGTATCGCTCTTTGAATAGTGCTCAGCACAAACCGTTAAGTAGCAGCAGGTTGCCTTCCCCCCCAAAGTTGTTAAGCATTGAGGTTGCCCTTTTTGTGTATCAGGGAAGAAAACCTTTCACTTCAACCTATTTAAACCTGCTGGTACTGCTCCCTATCACTTCCCACATGTAGTTTCTAAGCGTTAGTATCTCAAAGGTCAGGCAGCTCTATTCCTAGGTCTCATGAATTGGAAGCATTTTTTTCACACTGCTGAAAGAAGCTTCCTTAAAAATATCCATTTCAAAATGACCATGTTAAGTCATGCTCACCTGTAGGCTCTGTTCCAAATCAAACAGCTGCTGCAAAACACATACTATGTATTGTGTCCAGTGAACAAAGCTCTGTCATATGTGCAGCAGTGTCTTCAGGAGGAACATGAAATTCACTGTATTGATAAAATGTGGGCAGAAAAATAATTCTAGTGGGTTGCGGCTTAACTTTACTACCCTCTTAGGCTGCATATATGCTAGCCAATTAGTGGCACAAAAACTTTATTTCCCCCCCCAGAACCAGAACCATCCATGCTCGTCCTCAACATACTGCTTCCATCCAAAAGGGTTGGTGTGGTTGGAAACTGACCCCCTGATTAGGTTATCCATGCCTTTTCTTCCCTGCACATGCTGCAGGTGAATGAAGGAGGAAGTGATGATTGCAGTCTTGGTATATGCCCACAAACAACATCATTGAGCATGTGTGGTTATACACGCACCATTCCGTTACATCAGTTTTAATCTGTTTTCCAATGGATACACTGTTAGGAAATCTGGAATCAACCTGCAATGAGCTGTTATTTTTGGAATAAAACTGGTTTTCAATAAGTGCATTTCAGGAATAAAATATATGCAATAGATCTAGATTATGGGTCGACTAGACAGAAAACACACACCCAAGTACTCAGTCTTCATTGATTTTAAAATAAAATGTTGTGTGTATGTAGGCTTAGATGACTTCTGTTCAGATTCCCAGAGAACAGTTAGTGCAGTTAAGTAAATTTAGACTGTTCTTACTGGAGAAGGCAATAGTGTCCTAAACTTCTGTGCCCTGATGGCACCAATGAGCAAGGATACCATGCATAACAGTAATAATGACATTACCTTTTACTTAAGAATGCTGTTCTGGATTGTGAAGTCAAATGCATTCTATAGATGGTTGAGCTTCAAAGGCTCCTATGAAGTTTTCATTCTCATGTGTTGTATCTTTTGGATTTGAAATGCTTTAAAGAGCCCCAGTGTTGTGATAATGTACAGGAATCTGGCCACTGGTTGGGGGGGCACTATGGTCCAGCAGCTCCTGATAGGATGGCTTAGGGTGCCCTTCCCCACCTCTCCCTACTAAGGCCTACAGCCCAATGATTCTTCCACCACTGGAAAGTTGTGATGATTGATATGAAGTAGGTGAAAACCCACAGGATACATCCAATCTGTCTGTGGGCAATGTTCCCTCCTGACCCTGAAAACAATGACCAACAGCTGTCCATAGCAATGTTGATAACTGAAGCCAACCTGTTTAAGATGAAGCAACACGACCATAAGTAAAGTAAGCAATATTGGGTGGGTAAGTCCAGATGAAGACTGCAGTGGGGAGACGTCCCCTTTTAGGTCTCCGAATCAGATTGGACTGGATGAAGTCTTTTTACTCTGGTCTGCTCCTAAACTCCACTCCTCAGGAGCCCTCTGTGGATGCAGATTAACTCCCATCTGCAGTCCTAGCTTCTTGCATGGCTGCAAAGCACTTCCCTGTTGTCTGTGAAGTCTGAAGTGCTGGTTGCTCCCCCACCCCATGCTGGGCCATCAAGGCTGCCTCCCCAGAAAGTCATGGAATAGGGAATTATACATGGTGTATTGAGCAGTAATAGAGGGGATTCTTGAAAAATACGTTATTTTCCACTGCCTTCACCTGATTTTCCAGCATCTCCCTTACATCACAGGTCACATTGTTTAGGTTACCAGACCCTAGAGAGGCTGTGTGTGTTTTGTGTAGGTGAAGAGGGGCTGGGAAAGTCAACTGGCACCCCAGATGTATCCCACAGGCTTTTCTCTAGGTATAGCTCTTTATAATTTCGGTAAAAAATGTTGTTTTCTCATTCTTATGTATCTCTTTGGGTGACTTTCTAGTTTTATCAGGTTTTTGTTTGCTAGCACTGGAACAGTATAGTGTACAATAAAGCATTCTAGCTGCAGTGCAGAGAGAAATCAGCACACTTAGAAGTGCCTCAGCCATTAAGATATTCTGCTATAGGTATAAAGACAGGCACACTCATGAATTTTGCATGACCTCAGAATTTCGCAGCAAGTATATTAAAAAAGATGCTACCCTAGCTAAATATGATGAATGAGTGATAAATCATTCAAAAGATAATAGCGCTCCTCTCCGTTTTTGTTTGCATTTTCACCCTTTCCAAGGTGTCAATATTCTGCTAAATATAAACTGATAGCTGTTGTCTGTGGCAGCTGCCACAGAATTATTGTTATTTTAATAATCCTGAAACATAAATTTCCATTTTAGCCATAGTTTCCTGTACATTTTATCCCATTTGATGTGGACACAAGCTTCTGATTTTTGATGTAATAAGCTATTCAGATTTTTATTCCTTGTATGTTTCCTCTCTGCTAGGTAGAAAAGGAGGCAACAAATTTATGTTAGAGAGTAAAGCCCTTATTTTAAGCCTCCCCTTTTTGTGTGAAAATGGTAAGCCACATATGTGAAATATCATTTTCTCAAGGTCTACTGCAATGTCTGCCTTGGGGAAGCTACATTTCCACAGGCTGTTTGTGGCCTGGCATACTGCATAGTAGTATATCAGGTATGGGAGGGGAAGATGGAGAGGCCTTTCCTTTTGTGTCTGCTGCTATTGGCAGAACAGTGTTGCTACTTGCAGAAATTCTTCCCTTCCCTGTTTGCTGCCACCACTGGAGAACTGCCACCCAAGAAAGTGGGGTGGAGAAGAAAGTGGGTCGAAGAATCAGTGGGTGGGTATTGGTAGAAAGGACGGGGTTTGGGAAGCTCTCAGTGGTGTGGACAGATAATTTATGAGTTAAGACTGACTCAGTAATGATCAGAGCCAGTTAGATTTTTAAAATATTTTTTTGCACCTGTTCCTGTCTGCATCAGTGAGACTTGGCTTAGTGAAACAAATGGAAACAAGCTGGTTTGGGCTGGGAGTTGATGCAGAAGCAGAGGTTGGGCCAAGTGCTAAGGATACATTTTGGTATAGACACACTCTTGAATGCATCAGCTTTGCCAAGGGTCCCACAGTCCCGTGACTGGCTGTGCCATCTCTGCTACAGGTAGAGGACCTTACCTTACGCAAGTTTATTTTGGATATCTGCCTTCACAAAGTGTTGAATATTTATCCTAAGATCAGTGAAGGTTTGTCCTCATTTCTCCAGTGACAGAATTCTGTAGCCTTGCTGTAACATCAGTGAGAAAATCCTGTCTGATTTTGCAGTGATTTATGCAGCCAATCTTCCTTCCTGCTCTTACAGTTGTTCCTGGGAGAGCAACACAGAGCTTTAGCATCTTGGAATCGCCAGCAAATGTGCTCTAGCATAAGGCCCCATGTCTTCATTTCTGAATATGGTATGCCACAAAATGTTCTGACGATGTCACAACTTGGGCTTGCATTTCTTAAGCTTGGCAGAACCCTGCTGACTCCTTTGCAGCCTCTTTAATGAGTTTGATGTAAATTTTGCATGTTCGGCCAAACCTCCAGATTGGCTAATGTCTACAGGGTAAAAAATAGTAGCGCACTGCTGTGCTAATTATAACAGCCTCAGACTGCGCTCCCAATAGGTGACAAGACACTGAATGCCAGATGAGAATCGTTGCTTCTTTATTTCTTATAATAAAGAAAACAGATGCTGGTTACAAAAGGAATTATCATACAGCATCATTTATCAGAATAGTCTGGGAGATGTTCAAAACACCGTGGTTACCAGGAGTTCTGTTTACATAGGATTTGTTTGAGATAGAGAACTCCCTAAAAATGATTTCCATTAGCAGTGCAGCACAGTTTCTACTTTAAATTGCAGTTTAGAAACCTCTGCATAGGTTTCTATCTTATTTGCACAGTATCGTTTAAACTTCTAAACACTGGGAAATACAACAGGAAAATTGCTAAACGCTTCCTAGAAGGTTTGTACACATTTACCTTGTCAAACTGCCCCTCCCCTGCCTCCCAGCTCCTGGACCATGAGGCCTGAGGGTATTCAGACTCTGGTAACTTACTAGTTAATAGGGCATGCATCATATGACCACAAAATGTCTAATCCAGACCTTGGAGTTCCTAACAGTGATTCTCTTTTCTGTCCTTGTGATTAAAAGGACCTGATATTTAACCCTTGCTGTTGCATTGGGCCAGGCTGATCTTCCCCCTTGCAGTGATGTTTTCTCCCTTTGCAGTGATAATTTTTCAAGTGGGACGCAGGAGGAGCAGTTTCCCAGTGGCCTTTGGTTTCCTGTCCAATGGCAAAGGGCAGAGTGTGCTTCTCTTCATTCAGTATAGCAACCTCTAGGACTTCAGTAGACATTCATTCTCTGAACATTATGTTCATTGTAGAATCCTGTGTGCCATCAATCAATAGTCCACAAAGCTCCAAATGAGTTACAAATATTTCTTCCTTTCTTCTTTTTTACAGCGCCTGTGTCATCTTGGGTGTGATATTTCTCCTGTCTTCGCTATGTATAGTGATCAAAGCCATCCATGACCTTGCAATTAAATTGCTTCCAGAAGTGGTAAGACCTTTTATTTTACCTTTTTAAAATGAAAAACTTAAAATCTAGCCTTAGAATAATATGGTATTGGATGCACATTCCTGTGTCCACTTATAGCTTGGTCCCTGTATAATTCAACAGAACGGCATGAAAATGTTCTATCTTTAATGTAGATATTTGACCATTAACTAATATTTATCTTTTTTGAGCTCCAAATATTGTTTTTCTTTGCAATAATAACTAAAATTTATTCACTTCTAGAAATCAAAAAATCCACTGTATTTCACACTTTAGACCAGTGTTTCCCAAACTTGGGTCTCTAGCTGTTTTTGGACTACAACTCCCATCATCCCTAGCTAGCAACTCCCATCATCCCTAGCTAGCAAGACCAGTGGTCAGGAATGATGGGAATCGTAGTCCAAAAGCAGCTGGAGACCCAAGTTTGGGAAACTTCTTTAGACAATGGACCTAGGAATGATTAGAACAGAAAAGAGAAGGCCGTGACCCTTCAGATATTGCTGAATTACATCTCCCTTAAACTCTGGCAATTGGTCATATTGGCCAGGTCTGAAGGAAGTTGTAGAGTCCAACAACATCTAGAGAGATATAGATTTAATCCAAAGATAGAGAATCTAGGGAAGCTTTAAGAAGAAGGTGGAATGGGTTGGATTCAGATTTACTTACATTTCCTAAACTGTAAATTTATGTTCCATAACTTGCTGCAGCCAAGAAACCATATGTCAACTTGAAGCTACAGGCACATTGTTGCTCTGCAAAATTGGTGAAAGATACAGGCTGTGAAAGTGAACATTGAACAATATTCACAAACACTCATGGACAAACACTCATGCTGCATGTCTGGAAGTTGTCAAAATTATGCAAATATCGTGCTGGAAAAGCACAGCATATTGGTGCTATTTCCAACTTACTATATGTGTGAAAGGAGTAATACAGTACTGTAAATAGAAACCATAAAGTGCTATGATTTTAAAGTAATATGGCAATCATCCTGCTTCCTTCTTTCCCTCATACCCTTTTCTGGCCTGCAATGGAGATCAAAACCATCTTCTGTAAAATAACCAGACATTTGTTCTATATAAAAGAGGACAGATGGACATGATAGCACAGGCTACTATATGGATAATACATGGAGATGCACTTATATTAACGGGTTACTAATATGTTTGGATGTCTTCCACATGCAGCTGGATTTTGTGCATAATTTGGATTAAAGAGCCACCTCTTACGTGTGAATTGGGTTACTGGAAAAATAATAATTCACGCCTACATCCCTAAAGGCTTGAAGCAGTTTAAAGTGAAAGTTTAGAGTCTTCAAAATAGTATTTTCTGCTAGAGTTCAGATTGCATTTACATAAGTGCAGAATTTTACCCAACAATGTCTGAGAATGAAGCCCATGTAGTGCATTGTAACCCATTTAAATTGACACAAAGGAGCATATTTTCCAGAGACTTTTAGAAATGTTAATTTATTTGAAAATGTCAGATTTCATGAATTAAGCTTCTTTTCAGAATAGGCTTTCCTAACTTGGTGTAAAATTTAAGCAGCATGACTCTGATTTTGAGTCATGCGGTTGTGGAACAACATTTTTCCACTAGAAAATGTTGCCATTCCTTAAATGTTAAGAAAGATAACATTTAACTCTTGGTTTGGAGCAATATAATTTACATAGCAGATTAAAACATTTTCTGTCAAAGAACAGGACAAGTATAAGTTTTCTTTATGCTGGGCTTCTAGTCTGCAGTTGTTTCTGGGCCGTTTTAGGGCTTAATGTTTCTCTTCCCTCTTTCTTTAAGGACTTCAGAGCGGAGTGTTTCAGTCTTACAGCAACCTAGTGAGGTAGTTTCAGACTGAAAGATGGAAACTTGGTCAAGGCTACTTGACCATAGTGTTGCAGGGATTCAGATCAGGGTGTTCCATGTCCAGACTCAATATGCTGTAGGTATGGATTATATTGACTAATCACTCAATATAATGTGTAGTTCAGAATCAGTTTTGGAAGCTACTGCTGTAAGGTACTTTCACAATGCTCACATGAATTTTCTATTTATCAAGGGGCACCCTTTTTCACCAAGGCCAGCCCTATCATTAGTAAGGGTGAGGTAGCTGCCTCAGGTGGCATAATTAAGAATGTGTCTCTGGGTGTATGCAGGGGGCACAGATATGCTAGAAGGCAGTGTTTGTGTTGGCTTCTGTGCATGGAATGGTGGAGGCACCCTTCTGTCTTTCACCTCAAGTTTTTCAGATTGCCGCAGCTTAGAAAGTCCTCTTGTGAAGTTGTGGTGCATCTTTTCAGTTCCTAGCCAAAGAAGCCTGAGTTGCAAGGAAGGCCTGGGAAGTAGCAGACTGCATAAATGTTTCATTCAGGGCTTCCTGGGGCCATTTTGCCATTATTTCAGTTTCAGAGTCAGGTCTTCTACCGGCAACCTGCATTTGTGCATCACTCAGATGCTCCCATGATGCAAAGGTAACATTTTAAGTTTTCCTTACACCTTCATTTACTAACAGCTCATTGGCTGGAAGCCTTGTATGAACTTGAATGAGGTTTCTTTCCCCACAGTCCAGGATGGGTTGTTGATGACCTGTAGATAGCACTCTGAGATAACCTTGTTGCTGTCTTCTTTGATTGATTTGACTCTGCTTGCTGCAACTCTTGTCATCTCATCTTATATTCCTGTGGCCTGCTACTGCCCTCTGTTGCAAATTGCATAATCCAAAAAATCATTTCAGCTTTGCAATTGCGTTGGTAGTGGCATCACTCTGATACCTAGAAAAATGCTGGCCTTGGGCTCTTTACTATAGTGAGCAAGTAAAAGCTAGTCAAGCGCCTGACAAGTGTGCTTGGGGCTAATTCTAAATGATCTCTGAACTTTCTAAGAGAAGGTACCCCACTGAGAATTGGTCTAAAATAATGCTGTAACCTTACTGAATATCCTGCTTTCTGAAATATACCGGTATTGTCTTTATTTTTTTTTTTTTAAGTTCCTTGCTCTAGAGCACTTTGCATATATCCGGAGATTATTAAGCTTGGTATAGTGGCACGAAAAACAGCCCATATTTTGAAAATAAGTTACTTTCAAGAGTGCTGTTAGTCTTGACATATTTTTTCAGTTAAGCTATTAATTTATTTCAGAGGAACTAACAATCTTTTTGAGTTTTTCTCTTCTTGTTGTAAGACTGTAAATTCAGCAATTCATTATAATTCATTATAATTCCATATCCCCCCCAAATAGGTTATCTCTTTTGTTACGTACCACAAAATGCATATGATTTCTTGTTTGATAAAGCAACTCAAAGGGCCAGGGAGAGTACAACCATTTGCTTGGTGTGCTAAATCAATAGCTACTTGCAATTCAGGGAGTGTGTTTATTTCCCCAGGCAGCAGTATCATCCATGCAGTGGCAGTGCAGTTTACATTCATTAGTATGATCCAGGATGTTGTTTGCTAGGATGGGAATAAGGTTACTTTATTTGCCACAACAAAGGAAAGCTGAAGTTCCAGTATAAAAATGTATCTTAAGAAGCTATTATTTGTAACACTAGCTGTGCTTTTAGATGAGTAGTGAAAATACGTCTGGTTGAAAACTAGGACTACAGCAGTGCAGCTCACCCACTGATCCTGTTCGTTACTAGATCTGCGACTATGCTGGCACACACAGTCAGATCTTAGATGTATATTTCCTAAAAGGTTAATTTTGGGGAACTGGTGGTACTCCTCTTGAGAGTGCACTGTTGTGTGCACACAATATTGCATTGACTTCGATCACTCCATGAATTGAATTTATCAAAGTATGCTTCCTTCACAGAACAGTAGTAACTATGCTACAGCTATTATATATATATAGAGAGAGAGAGAGAGAATAAGGCTTTAAAGGCGATAGCATGCCAAATTGAAATGACGTAGGAACACCAAAAGCAGCTTTGTAGCGTGAAATAATTGACGTTATTGGGTTGTGTGGTTAATACATTTTTATGCTTTAAATTGCCCTGTGGTGTTTTGGTGCAGGTCAGTAAGCCTCTCCTCCTTCCGGAGGGGAGGGGTTGTGAGCGGGAGACGATTCCCTCGTCATGCAGGGGGCGCTCCGCCCCCTGCTTCAACTCCAGGGCTGGCGCGCCACGCCCCTCCCCGGTTGGGCACCCAATAGGGAAGCTCGTGGGGGCGTGGCTTGCCATTCAAATGCGGCCGCGCCAGCCATCCATGCCATTGCACACACATTTTCTTCGAGTCACCCACCCTCCACTCCCTTTAGATTAGCTTTTCATGAGACTTTGCTATGGACCTCTGGATGGTCACCCTGTTTAACCAGGGGGCCTGGTAGGAGTTTTTTCCAATTGGCTAAATTGGCCCGGCCTCTTGGTTTTTTTCGCCTACCTCGTAGCAACCGTCACAACTTTCGTGGTATTTGGCGGTTAGGCATTGGAATGTGTTGTTGGTGTTTCGGGGGGCAAGGTGTGGCCATCGCCTTCCCCGACAATTTTGGGTATTCCGCTAAAGGAATCCGGCGGTCGTGGATCCTGTCCGATGCCCGTGTGGCCATGGCACGACCCTCGGTGACATCAGGAGAGAGCCTATAATTGTATTAGCATCAACAGGCTCCACCTTCTGGTGAATAAACCCCCTTTGGGCTCACCCCTCTCCGAGTGGGTGGAGTCTAATGTTCCGTGGTCCAATGCCTAAGCCAATACCTTCTCACATGCTGTAATCAATAAAGTTGTGGCTTTTTCCTTACCCATTAACCTTCCATACTGTGTCCACATGTCTTTATTCCCCAAGCGGGGATCGGGTCCTCGAATCACAATATACACTTGCGACCTAGTGGCCGAACAAAGATGCTGGACTTGTTTTTCACAGTTCCATCATCTGCCACACTTTGGGTAGCAATATCAAAGAGCTTGGGCAGCAGGAACTGTGGCCCCCAGGTCCAGCCTTTGCTTTACCACTGTTGTTCTTTAAGATGCTACCAGACATTTTTTGTTTTTAACGTTACCTTTCTGGGAGTTAAAACAACAACAACACAGTTTAGATAAAAATCACTTATGGAGTATATCACGTGTGTGTGTTTGCACAAAGAGAAGTTGGGTGCATCTGCATGATAGCTTCTCTTAGTCCCATACAGGAAGTTCCACCACCCAGTCGCAAATATACAGCGGATGTGGTATGAGACACAATTTCATACTAATATTATTTAATGGTTTATACCTATGGTTGTTTTTAAACATTTCCCCAGTTTCTGAGAGCTATTCTATTTTTTGCATTATTAGGATCAAATCCAAGTGCCTTCTTTCCTTGTCTAAATTACAGCACAATCTGGTTTTCATACTTTCATTTATGGGAAGTAGATAGTCTCTGTGAGCAGTACTGTATCTGCATTGCAGTTAGTAAGGTAGGTTGTACATTAACCAAATGCAGGTTCCATTACACAGAATTACCTTTTCCTAAATAGTAATGTTTTAGTGCAGTAAGAAAGAAACACTCTTGAAAGAACATCCCCAGGTATGAGCAATCCTGAAGTTGTGTGTTGCCTGTTTATGAAACTAGCACTCTCCTTGATGATGGGCATTAAGTGATTTGGAAACAGCTGAAGTCACTGCCACTCAACAATGTATTTTGGGGTTAGAGGGCATCCACACTATACTTGTAAGCATAAAACTGGATTCAAGGATATAACCTTAGCAAGGAATGGTAGTGGGCCACAAATACCTTCCTTGTTTGCTCTTTGTAATGTGCAGTTTCCATGGTGATGCCCTGCGCACTTTTATTGAGATGGATTTACTAGTATAGTGAAATATATTATAAGATTTCAGCTCGCCTTGCAGTTCAATCATTGCATAACCATAAAGAAAAAGGTCAGAAAAGTCTGCCCTGTTCTTTCCCCCACTTCTTCCCTATCAGGGGCACAATCAAGCACTTAAAAGACTTAAAGCACAGACCTGTGATAGAAATTTGCATATGCTAATAGATATGTATGCAGAGATGCAAATTAAGGTTTGTGAACAAGTAAACAAGCTCGGCAGATGAGGTCTTTCTGTCCCAGCAGTCTTGTAAGCAAAATATTAGAGAGAGAGAGAGAGAGAGAGAGAAGGAAAAGTTCAAAAACATTGCAATTATTGAGGGAGAAGGCTTGATTCTATTCATTCAGGTCTGTTGCTTTGTTCACAGATTTGCTGTGGGTGTACTTAGTATAGGATTTATAAATGGCTTTGTAACTGGAATGGCTATGGCAGTGTAACATTAAAGCATAGTGTAAAACGTAGTTAAATACATAATTATTTGTAGCTGCATTATGTCACAAGCAAAGATGTTTAGGATAGAATGGGATATGCTTATGCAGATATAAACAATGGCACAACTGGACAAAAATGAGTGTCATTTCAAACAAAAGAAGGCTGCAGATTATGGAAGTGTTTAGGTTTTTTTTTTAATAAAAAAAAATAATCTTCTCTTTCTAATTCAGTGCTGTTGCTCCAATTAAAATCTAGTGAGGTAGCGAACAATGAATCTCGATGGATTTGATTCCTTATTTAATGATTTTCAGAAGCAATGGCAAGAAGGTAATCTGAGGCGACAAAGAGGAAAGGTCCTGGGGGACATGGCAGCAGATGGTCAGGGTTATTTTATTAATTTAGTACCATATTAAAGTGTCTCTTCTGATCAGTTTTCTGGAAGATGAATTAATTTGGAAAGGTAATCGTTCACACCAAGTGGGATGCTGTTGAGGTTCCTGATGTGTTACCAGTGATGGCTGATACCAGGTCACTGCCCATCTCCTTGCCATTTCAGTTTTCATCTTCATAACAAGCACTTCCACTTGTCTCTTGCCATGTCTTTTATCCTTGACCCTGTGGTGCACAACACAGCTCACTAGACCCTCAGGTGCACAAGCCTACTCCTAATTCAGCTCATTCATTCTGCCTCCCAAAGGTAATCTGGGCTGTAATAGTTGCGTATTTGTCAGTGGTACTTGTGGTAGTGGGAATCCTGGGGCAGGTGGTGGGAGTGGGAGAGCACTGGGAGCTGTATTGGTCCGTAAAGAAGCATAGAATAGTCATACAGATATTGTGGTGAGTAGCTCCACTCAGTGGATGCATTGAAATACTGCAGGGATTCCTTGAAGAGATCTTGCTGGTCTCAAGTACTTGAAAACTGGATTCCTTTACTCTCCTACACTTGCTTTTTCTCCTCTGTTCCTTCATTTCAGCTCTTTACTTGTATTAAATAAAGCTGGGGGTTGTAAAGAGTGGTTCAGTCATAATATTTGCATGGAGCATCCAACTTTGAAATAAAATAAAATCCTAGAATGAGAATAGTGTTTTATTAGATCTTAGTTGGTATAATACTGTATATACTCGAGTATAAGCCTACTTTTTCAGCATATTTTTTATACTCAAGTGAGGGTCCTTTTGGGCTGCTCCTTGCTCCTCCTCCACCTTTGCCGCTGTTGGCGGTGGCGGAGGAGGAACGAGCAGCCTGAAAGCAGCCCTTTAGGGCTGCTTGTTCTTCCTCCGCTGCTGCTGCCACCAGCCTCTGCCTCTCAGCAGCACCCTAGGTAGGCAGGGGGATGGGAGGGGCTGGGGGGGAGAGAAGCTCCCTCTGCTGTGTGTGCATGCGCGCATGCACACAAACACACACACACACACACACACACACACACTCCAGCCCACCAGAGTGTGTGTGGTGGTGTGGTGAACCGGCTTATACTCGAGTCAATAAGTTTTCCCAGTTTTTTGTGGTAAAATTAGGTGCCTTGGCTTATATTCGGGTCGGCTTATACTCGATTATATACGGTAACCTATTTCTAGTTAAAAAATAGATAGTGATGTGGCATGTGCAATGAAATGTTGCGCTGTATCCCTACCCTTTAAGGAGAGTTTTCCTGTTCCAGGCTGGTTTGAAATGTCCAGGCCAGGCAGGAGACATTTCTGGAAGAGTGGAAGGGAAATGGACCCTTTTATTCTTCCCCATCCCTGTTCTATAAAGAGATGGAGGGATCAGGTTTAGGATTGCATAGCAACCCTGAATATGAGCACTGATAGAGCAGGGAATCTGGGAAAGAGAATGGGTCTCATTTTTACTCTCCTTCTCATTATTCCTATATAATGCTAGAGGGAAGTGCAGGGAAGGAGTCCCAGTTGCCCCCATGGGCATAACCAGGTGGGTGCAGCTGCCCCTCTGCTAAATCAGGTAAGTAAATAAAAATACTTAACTAACTGACCAGTTGTGTTGCAGATAACTTTGTTCTGTCCCCCAAACATAAAGCCTACCCCCCAAATAAATCCTGGCTACTCCCATGGCTGCCCCCTTCCCACTCTCCAGAACCCTTGTTTTCTGCTATATAGCTATCAGTGGTCATATTCAGGGCTGGCAGCTAACCAGCCCAGAACCTGTATGTTTACTCTCATAGTACACATCCTTGCAACTTAACCCACCCTTCCAGGATACTTGCCAGACAAGCTGCTAGGGCAGGGCCATCTTAAGCATATCCCCCGTTTCCCAGAGTTGTCGACCTTTTCCCAAGCCTCTGCCGGGATTGCTCTCCTCCCGCGGGGGTTTGGGAAGACAGCTGCACGTCCACCAGCCATATAGTTGGCGGGGCACAGCTTCTATCCTAAGCCTCTGCAGGGATTGCTCTCCTCCCGCGGAGGCTTGGGAAGGAAGCTGCACGCCCGCCAGCCCACCCAATGGGAAAGACGGCTCTGTGCCAGGGGCTAGTTCCTCCTTTTTTTCTGAGCCAGTGTGGATTTTGATCCATCCTGGGAGGCTTTGGTGTGCTCCAGCAGATGTGCTGCTGAATCTTGCACCTTTTTCATGCTCCTGAAGTATGTTTGAATGGGGAAGTTGTTGGTCTTTCTTGCACAGAGAGGGTAAGAGCAACACTCTCACATATCCCTATGGGAGAGAAATGTAGTTCCCTTTCGAAGATAACATTTTCTGATTGAGATAAGTGTGTGAATTGTGTTAGGATATTTCCGTTCCACCTTAAAAGGGAGCAGGCTTTGTGAGTCAGAGTCTGCGTATTTCCTGTTTCCACAGGATGTTTCTGTTGTGTCTTTCGTTTCTCTCTCTCTGTGTCTGGAGACACTGATGCAGGCAGTCATGTTTTTCTTTGTTCTGACCAACGCTGAATAAACTTGTAAATAATGCTCTCCTGCGTGCAACTTCTGCTGTGAATTATCTGCTGATAGAGTGTGCATGAGCTCTGGAATGTGGCAAGCTATTTCTAGAAACTCGTGTCGCTAATTGCTGATACTGTATCTACGGGAGATCGATGGATCGTCCGGCAGCCGGCTTGGGGGCCATGATGGATTTTGTCTCCCTGGCAGTATCCCAACATGTGCCCATTCAGATATATCTAGCCAAAGCCACCTCCAGAAGCATTTTGCTCGGGCCCAGATCTGTACATTTATTTGACAGCTTTGTATTACATGGCAAAAGTGACACATAATATATTTTTCTTTTTTCTTTTCCAGGATAACTTTCTATATAGTGTTTCTATTTTAAGTGGAATCCTTTGTACTACCTTGGCAGTGATCAAATTTATGTTGGGGAATGTGCTCACAAGCAGAGCATTGTTAACTGATGGTAAGTAGCAAGTATCACATTCCTCTATGTTTTGGCTACTTTTATATAAGATGAAAGATGAGTGAGATGAACATAAGGTATAATACAAAAACAGCTACAGATATGAGCTACTAGTTAACATGCAGCTGACAGATTTGTTGAGTTTCTTACTATTAAATTAAACATTTGATTCGGACTGGATAATCACCAAATGCTGTAAGGACAGACCGCCCTCCTCGGCGCCAAGATTAATAGGAACCGTAGTTTACCCTACACAGAGCTATAATTCCCAGCACTTTTAACAATTTATTCTTTTTTTGGGGGGGGTGCTTGCTTTAAATGTATGTATGCAGCCTTAGCTTCCCTGATTTGCAGAGATTTTTATTTCAGGCATTTCTGGCAACTGTAAGCTATAGAAAAATGAAGACATTCCAAGTGACAAAACGATGGATGGAAGTAGCCCTTTAAATAAAGCAGGGAGACCAGTAAATCCCAAGGAGTTAATAATAGTAATAATATTTGCAAGCAAGTCAGGAGAGCTTGAATGCATTAATAGTAGTCAGATGGAGTGTGTGTGTTGCAGGAAATGAGAGGCCCACAAAACATGGCCAGATCATAGGCTTCTTCTGATACTGGATGGTTTCGTCCATGTAGGCTGCTGTGTAGTGCATAAAAAGATGTCAAACAGCAGCAAGAATACTGTAATTATTTATCGGGGACAACCCGTTTGTCTTGCTCCAAATGAAAAATTCCACAGGAGTCAAGACAGCAGACATGTGGAAATTCAAGTAGGGAGCACAGACGAAGGCTACCTAGTGAAATCATCCTGTTTCCCACAGTGGTCCATCATGTGGGACAAATGAGTGCAATAGGTTTTTCAAGCAGGACATGAGTGCAATAGGTTTTTCCTGCTGTGTGGTATTCTGAGGCATGGTGCCTCTCTGTGATCCTGAAAACAAAAGCTGGAAACAGATGCTTTGATACCAATTTCAATTTAATGCAATTACCGGTAAACATGGTTCAGATCTGTTGAAAAGTAACATATAAGCATTATTTTGTTAAAAAAATCTGTGTTACCTAAGCTCTGGTATTTATTGGAAAGGGTCTAGCCATGTGTACTGAGCTTTTATAGTCTCTAGGAATGATCACTGCATTGCGCTTTGTGTGAGAGAGTGCCAAAAAGATCATTTGGAAGCTGCAGAATACCACTGCTTTCCTACTGGTACATTTTGGGAGGTGAGACCATATTCACTCAGTATTGCAGCAGTTGTACTGGCTGCTGGTTAGCTTCCTAGTGTTGGTTCTTATGTTTTGAAGCTCTTAATTGCCTGGGGCCTATGTACCTTAAAGACCATTTCTCTTTCTTAGTATAAGCCCCTCTCCTCACAGTGAAACATTGGTTGTAAGAAACAGGAGACTCATTGTTACAAACTGAAGCATTGCTACAGGCTCCTTAGGAGGGTCAGGGTTGCTCTTTCCACCCCCTGGGATGGGTGAAAATACTGCCCTGTGATATTCTGTAGGGTGTAGCGTCATGAGTAAAATTTCACTAGATGATTTGACTGTTGAAGAAGAATCACTACTGTTGGAGGAGCAAGCGGTGCTTGTGGTAGCAGAAAAAGCTGACTGCTTTCACATCATCACAGCTGTCAGAGCCATCAGCTGTGAGCAAACAATTGTGGCAATTCTTTTTTAAAAAAAGAAAATCCATGACTGCTGATGAGAGTGCTGAGATGCTTTAAAGTCTGAACTACTGAAACTAGGAGGCTAAAGTACTGGAGTGAGTGTGCAATGGTAATTAACTCAACACAAATGCCCCCTCTTTAGCCCAAAAAACAATTGTTTAATTTCCCCATCACTCCTAGTCTATAATCAAGGCCAGCTGCTGCATTTCAGGGATTTTTGCATGTCTGTGTCTCTCTCTCTGTGGTCCCCCAGGAATGGTCTGGCTTTCCCCCTTTCCTTTCAGGAAGAGCAGCAGCAAAAGCAGAGCATGGAGGCATCAAAGGTTTACCTGCTCTGGAGTTGTGCCAGCTGCTGCTCCTTTCCTGCCACTGTTGGGGGTCCCAAAAACAGATGTGCCTTCTTGGGAATTTATCCTCCTACCCAGAAGTTCAGTGTCAAGTCCAGCTGCTTAATCAATGAAAGCAATTTTGGGGGTGAAGGTGTGCTTGGTGTTACTGCTTCTGAATGAATTATACAAGGATTCCCCCCCCAAAAAAGTCAGGTTTTTTTGTTTAAAAGTAAGGCCATGTCTCTTTTTCTGCATGGCCCCCCAGGGGATTCACCCTGGGTCAGTGCAGCCATAGACTCCAAAGTTAGCCACCACTGTATTAAAGGACCCATTGAAGATGGGCCATTTTCAGTTGTATACAGTGGTACCTCAGGTTGCAGATGCTTCAGGTTACAGACGCTTCAGGTTACAAACTCCGCTAACCCAGAAATAGTACCTCGGGTTAAGAACTTTGCTTCAGGATGAGAACAGAAATCGTGTGGCGGCAGTGCAAGGCCCCATTAGCTAAAGTGGTACCTCAGGTTAAGAACAGTTTCAGGTTAAGAACGAACCTCCAGAACGAATTAAGTTCTTAACCCAAAGTACCACTGTATAACAGTTGTTTCAGCTGATGAATAAGCTAAATATTAAGGAGTTTTTGCCTGTCTGTGCAGACCCTTTTTCCAGTTGCTATTTAAACCAGGAAGTCTCTAACCATGGTTGGAAGTTGTGTTTAAATACCCTGGCTTGTTAAGAGCTGGTCACCATAGTTTCACCAGATGTCAGTTTCATCAAAACTGGGAATTAGAGACTTCTGGGTTTAATTGCAGCTCGCACAAAGCGGTTGTCTGTGTTGATAAAAAAGGCTCATTCATATCTCTGCTTATTAAACCAAGATAAGACCATCTGAATTGGCTCAGTGGTAAAACTGATGGAATGTTTTGTCCTACTTCTCTACCTGTTTAATAGGCCACGATTACCAGTGTTTTCAACTAGTCCTGCATTTTGCAAATAGCTGAGGAACTTCTCTTCCATTAATTACGTCGTTGTGATAATTGTGTTGCTGCTGATTTTATTGTTAGCTAAATTAGAGACTGAACTCTGTAATTAGCCTGGTGTCTGTGCATTCAAGCTATTTTAGTCAGGCAGCTACGCACAGATTTCTCTCTTTGTATTTTTGGCTTTTGGTGGAATATAATCTTTGGGAGGGTGAGATTCCCACCCACAAGCAAGCAATACAGCAAGGGGGTGGAAGCAGCAGTTGCACAAAGTGAATTAGTATGTCTCTTTTGCCTGTTAGCACTTTTCTGATTCCTGTTAATTTGCTTCGTGCCGTGACAGCCTGTGGAACTGTAAGTTTCTTTTAGACAGCACAGAGTGGGGTGCAGAATTCAGCATTTTCTATCTAACAGGGATTTCTTTTTTTAAGTCTGCAGATGTCTCGTGTATTTAGTCTTAGTTAATTGTTTAAAAACATGCTAAGTGAGGAGGCATATATTATGCTTGCCAATGTTCTCAAGTTAACAGAGACAATATGGTATCTGGGAAGGCTCAAGATGGAACCTGGTCAGCAGGCAGAGACTTGTGGATAACAAGAGATAACTGAACTATTTACCTTGGTAAATTGCTGCTGACCAGGGCCAGCCCACCCATGAGCCAAGGTGAGGTAACTGCCTCAGGCAGCATGAACCACCAGGACAGCAGATTCCACCACCACTTGTTTCTGTTGTAAATCTTCCCTCAACCCTTCTTCCCTGGTGAGGGGGGCAGCAGCGGAGGAAACTGCTTGGGCGCCTAGGGTGCCGCGCTTTGGGGCCTTGGGAGTCTGCCTGCCTCTCCCACTCAGCTGCCCTACAGCTGAGGTGGGGAGGCAGTGGGCGGACCATTTAGGCAGCGCAGAGCCTGCGTGCACCCAAGCCACAGCGTCTTTCCCAGGTGAGTGCCGCTCGGCATTTTGTCATCTCCCTCAGTGGTGACACCTGGGGCGTTGTGCACCCACCACACACCCTTCCTCTGCCCCTGGAGGGGGAGTGCCATTTGGACGTCCGCCTTAGGTGCCCAAATGTTTTGGACAGACCTTGCTACTGACACATAAGGTGAACCCAGGAATAGTATTATGTACACTACCATTTATCCAAGTGGTGAAATCTTCTAGGGGCAGTGCTCATCCAGGTCTGGCTACCTTTGGAAAATAAATCATTGGTGATTTAATAGTTGTTGGTTTTTTGTAATATTCAAGTTATTTACAGATACACAAGCTGAGCATAGGGGAAGACAGAACATAACATTATTGAAATCACTGCTCCTACATCAGTTCTCTAAAAGCTCATTCTGCCTTCCTGAGTCAAACTGCAGTTTTCTTTGCTTCTGTCTATATCTTTCTATGGGCAAATGTGTGCATGTACACACTTGCTTAAGGTTATCCTTAGTTTGGAGATATGCTTCTTAACTCTATTTTCTTGGGGATTCTGGGCTATACACCTGTAACTTTCCTAACAAAGGATGAGGCTGGCAGCTTGACTATTAAGGAACTTTAAGCAGTCATTCTGGCCTCATTAATCCTTTTCTCTCCAAATGCAAATTTCATTAGAATCTGAAAGTAATCAAATTACAAAGTTGGGGGGCTGGGATGGAGCGTAGGCAAGTCCCATTCTCCAAGCTTTCTTCTGTTTGTGATGATTCCCACAGTCTAAACTATATTCTTTGTAAATCGCTTCGTAAAGCGATATACCAATTCTGTTAAGTAAAATAAATATTATTTTGTTGTGCAGTATAATTAGTAGCCCCTTCGAAACATGGATAGAACAGCAACAGCACAACAGGCAAGGCAGTATTTTATGTTTCACCAGCACTAGTCAGGACTGCAATTTCTCAAAGACTTCTCGCTGCACAGGAGAGACATCTCGTGGCCAGCCAGATAGGTACCTAGCATCCCTAGGTGTTAGTATGGTAAACAAGGGAAGGCTGATTGCCATTAGGCTGAGTTGAAGTAGGGTGCTTTTGCTGTTTTTATTGCCCTTTTAAGTATTTTTCATTCCAGTGATTTCCCCCCAAGGAGATCTTCGGCGGCCCATCCCCAGCAAGAGATTGGGTGCTCATGAAATAAGGCACCCCCCCTCCCAGCACACATTTGGCACCTTAATGCATATGATTAGGTGGTGATGGCAAAGTGCATCAGTGCCTCGGGGCATGCCCAGAACAGAAAAGCAATGAATGGCAGGGTAGGAGTAACTTGAGTGTACAATCAAAAAGCCCTCCAGAGTCATTCCAGCAACCTCCATCTTCTCCTGCGAGTGGCAAGCAGTGGAACAGCAATGTGAGGAGATTTCACCCCTCCCATATCCAAGAATCTGCTGATGTTCTCTGCTGATTCTTCAGAGAGGAGGGGCGGTTTCTGCTCTCTACTTATTCCGCTCCAGCCTCACATCAAAGTGTCGAGGAGAGAGAGAGACTGAGTGTTAGAGATCGTGTGTATAGATAAGGTTGCTGCTAAGAGCAGCTGCAGACACTCAGTGCAGTTCAGCTTTTTGTTTAGACCTCATTTAGCTCTGTATATAGTTGTGTATTATAGTTGTAGATAGAATAAAGAAGATATTCTACAGAGCTGCTCTCCGAGTCATTTATGCTCTGCTATACTCTGCAGTACTCTGCTGTGCGATGACTTCTTCTTGTTGGAGTGAATCCGGTGCTCACAACTCTAAGCTGTGAGTCCACAGCACTTTGACCTGTTCCTGTGCAGAAGGTGGTCTCTGGAAGTGCTACCCCAGCTCGCCTAGCCCAGTCGGGGCTGAAGTGTGTGAGTCCAGTTGGTGGCACTGGCTCAATGGCGATGCTGACACAATGAATAGCCATGACTGGGGGGAAACAAACAGGAATGTGTGAAAACTAACATGTTGAATACACACATAGCAGTCTGATCTGAAATGCCTATTGGCCGGCATCTGGAAGCACCCAAAGACAGCGTTCTGCTTGGACCAGCACCCTAAGAGGCAGCAGAGATGGGAGGAATCTAACTACGAATAGGGTGTGAAGATGGCAGATGCTGGATAGACATGCATAGAGTGAAACTGCATTACAGAGAGAAGTTAGAATGCCTGGTTCGCATTGCTGTAAAATGGTGTGGGTACCTGAGTGAGAACTACCGGTAGGAAGAAATGGAGTAGTGCAAGTATTAACTATTCAAAGGTGGGATGCGTGGTGGAACATCCAAGGCAAAAACCATCCTTACCACTTGGATGCAGAGGATTACTTGAGCTGCTGCTTATGAATTCCTAAAGGCTCAGACACTCTGGCTCTTTCACCATATATAGAGAGACCTCTAGGGAAAAGGCAATGAAGGGTGGTTGAGAGTTAGCCAAGCTTTTGTAGGTTTCCTTAAAACCTACAGAACAAGCTCTGAGATGAAGGCAGATGCATGTTCTCTGCACTTACCCTAGATTCCTAACTATCATAATGTAAACATAAGTAAAGTCTGATAAAAACACACCTTGCAGTATCAAAGTGGTCAGTATTTTCATGTGAGACACATGATCAGAGTGACATCTTGTGGCCAGTACCTGGAAAAGCTTAAATTTCTTAGTGGGTTTATTTTATGTGAGTTGACAATGGTACGCATGTAACTCATTAAACTCATGAGCAAACTCTTTGGTTATTGGACAAGTCTAAATTTATACTTTTTATTTCAGGTTTCAACTCTCTGGTAGGAGGAATAATGGGATTCTCCATACTTATAAGTGCGGAGGTTTTTAAACACAATGCTGCTGTTTGGTACCTGGATGGAAGTATAGGTGTTCTAATTGGACTGACAATATTTGCCTATGGAGCGAAGTAAGTGAAGTTGTTCCTTTTTTCACCTTATTCTTTGTGTTTGCATGCTTAAGAGATACTGTGATGATCTGTTCCTTGTATATGATGCTTGAGGCATGGGGTAGCAACCTCAACTCCATTTCCTGAGATGTTGCACTTACTTTGCTGTGGTGTATCGTCATTATTTGCCATTGCCCTTACTACCTTATTACTACAAAGTTTCATTGCTTAAATATCAATGTATTGGGTGACTTACAATTGCATGCCTTGCTTAGAACACCTTTTAGAATCCACCTTATCAAAATCTACTTTGCAGTGGTTGAGCTTGGATACAATACAAAGATATATTCTCAAAAATCTTCCGAGCACCATTGTCCATGATTTTCTGCTTACAACTTGTGACTTTTGTCCTTCATCAACATGTGCTTTCATTTCCAGACTACTTGTGGACATGGTTCCTCGTGTACGGCAAACACGTCATTATGAAATGTTTGAATAAAGACAGAGCACCATGGACTGAATAAAATTTTGCAAAATGTGATAACGTACTACATCCTGGCAAACGGTGCCAATTATATTTACAAGATTGCACTTTGTTTCTCATGGTATATTTTCTTTTTACATTATCTTTCCAAGAAAAGGTCAATCTGTACAATTAGGCAAATATGTACACCGCTTAGATCTTGGCAAAAGTAGCAACAAGCAGCCGTTTTCTTTTGTGTGTGCTATTTAAAATCCTGCAAATGGTAACTGAGATGAGCAAAGTGCACAGTTCTAATCAAGCCGCCATGTTTTGTCTTCTGGAATATTAAGAGTTCTTCAACACAACAGATGCCTGTATAAAGGAGCCAAACCCGAGAGGGCGCAGCCACAGTAGTCTTTTACCATGGCACCTTAAGGACTAACAGGTTTATTGTGGCATGAGCTTCTATAGACAAGAGACTACTACTGCATCCAGTATAGACAAGAGATGGCCTTTAGTTACGTTGCCACCAGCGTTCCAGAATGTGCCAGCAAGTGAGACATTCCCTATGTCTTCTGCACAGAACTCAGTGGTATTGTACTTAGCTTATGGGGGCCAACAGACACTACTTGATGCATGGAATTAATCCCCACCCCACCAGCCTCAAATCAACCCCCTTTCCCAAACTGCTCCATTTTTAAATTCAAAGAATCTAATGTGAATTTCATACTATTTTCTAAAATTCTCTGCACTGCATAAATATGAAGCAACACATTATGAAATATATTAAGCTGCACAGACAAAATAAGCACAAGGTGTCAATGTACAGGCAAAAGCCAAAAAAGCAAGAGGGGGTAGTTTTTGATTATATGTCTATGGCTGTATTATGCACTTATGTAGCGGTATATATGGGTAAATACATGGGTGTCCTGTTGTCTGGTAAAAGTGATGGTTTCAAGGTGGTAGTAAGATAGCCTTTCTACTGTTAGTTAGGCTATTCTGTAGGTGTTCCATGTACCCACCCACCATCTTATGTAATTTAATATCTGGATTACAAGTTATGACTCCCATCATGTAAATCAATAAAGCTGTTACCTATTTTATACAGTACCTGTAATTAACCTTGAAAAAAGCTCTCTAGATAATACATTAACAATACAATCTATGTATTTATTTAAAGTTAAGTCCTGCTGGCTTCAGTGGTGCTTACTAACTTGTAAGTGTGTTCAAGATTGCTTCCTCAATAGAACAAGTCGTCTTGTAGAAAAGCCCTCTGAAATGTTGCTGCCATTTTTTCAGCTATGAAGCCCTTTCTACATGAGTTTAACATTTGGTGAGTATGCAGAAATTATCAAAACATAACTTCGTACTTCTTACTGTTTTGATACTGCATTTTGCAAAGGTAGAAATGAGATGTTTACCCAAGCAGCTGCTTCCACAGAAGTACCTATGAGGAATAAAAGCTTACATATATAGTAGTCACATATTGAGCAGCCAACACAGCAGCTCCTCTACCCTTCTTTTATATGTTTTTTCTTACACCTGCTATATAGTAAATCTGCACAGAACTCAAAATGTGAGACTGATGGTAGTAGGTGTAGGCATTAAACATTTTTATTAAAAAAATGTTTATCTCCAGTTAAAAAACACTGAAGTGCAATTGCCTGAAACTGCTTGTTGAAGGGTGTCTGACAGTGTTAACAATGAAGTTCATTCTCTACGTGACACCTTACCACCTTAGAAATGAGGATTCTCGTAAGAAATCTGGTCTATAATGTCCTCCAGAGAAACCCTGTTAAACACATTTGGCATCTAGTCCACTACAGCAACATATGGGGGTCAGTTGGTAGAAATGATGCAAATATTTTCTCCCACTCTAGGAGGGATCTCTTACAAAAAAGAGTCGTGGATTCCAAGCAATGAATTGGCCAGCTAGCTTTCTCTGCATAGAGGACTTTTCTTCCAGGTATTCCTTCTTCTCACAGAACAAAAGCTTAGGATCCCAGCTGTGTATGTGTGTTCGGCATGGTTAAATAAAGATCCCTTGGTGTACCCAGCATGGATTGCCAATATGGTACCAGTGGGCATACATGTGCCAATAGAGGTATTCCCAAAAGGCCACAGCATCTCCTCTCCCAGCCTTGAAAGAAGCATTGAATGTATAGCAAACGGAATAGTCGCACCATACATTTGGTTAAAGCCCATAAGCAAATTTACCAATAGGCCCCAAGAGCTTGGTACAAAATGTACCAAGAGCTGGCAGCCCCCATGGTGTATAGATTATTTGGTATTGCAACTGATATTCATACTTGGGCACATATTTACGGCTTCTACTGTTTTTCTGACACCTTTGTTTCAGGCATACAGAGCTTGTGCTGTGAAACCATCAACCAGGCCTCACACCCATATGTGTAAGGCTGATTTCATGAATTTTATAGCAGGAGAATATCAGTTGCATTGGCAAGATTGTCTATTATGCAATGTAACTATCCCTCTCTTTTAAAAAAACCAAAAGCAGAAAAATGAAAGCAGAGAGGTTCAATTCTTGGAAGAGGGAAAAATGTGCTTTTGCCTTCCTCTGTTTTAATAACTATCAGAGCCATTTATAAGAAAATTCTGATCTTAATTTTATTTTTTAGCACAGTGTGGTTGGATGGAAGAAAGGGTGAACACAACGCAGTCACACAAGAAAAAGTTTATTGAAAAATAAAATTTTCCCTAGTTTGCCCTACAACAGTTGGTGGGGGTGGGGGGTGGGGGAAGGAAGCATTGTCAGCCATGAGAATACAGACATATTTACACCTTGGTTTTAAGTTTCCCATGTTGTTAATCTAATTTTACAGTTACTTGCAGTGAAGCAACCTGCTTAAACAAAATATAACGGAACACAATTTAAGAAATAAAACCCCCGCACAAAATTTCAAGCATGTATTGTTTTAAAAAACATAATCAGTGCTTGTGAAACAGATTAAAATCCTTATTAAACCTTAACCTACTACTCCGCTGAACAATACTCAGAACTGGGAAGCTAACACTTTACTTCTCATTACAAACAATATTTTGACTTTCAATGTTATATTTATAGAGATAGTCAGTGACTTGCTATTCTCTGTTGCACACTTCTGGAAAAAACCCACTACTTACTTTTTTTTAGGGTTTTTCTTACTAGCCAAATGTTAATGTTGTGATCTTGACCCCTGGCTGTGGACTGCTTAGCTTATTTTAGTGAAACAGGAGAGTGGTGAATATATGCACAACTCACTGCTTTCTGTTCTAAAAAATAGGACAAGTCTAAGTTGGGAGGTAAGCTTTGTTTTGTCGGACAAAAACAATGCCATTTGCTTAGAACCCGGGTTTCAGTAAACTATGTAAGCCTTCTGCATGGTTTGCCAGTACCTCTCAGTGGGGCGGGTGTTACCGATGCATTATATAGGTGAAAGAATTTAACATACACCTGGCAAACAGTCCTTGGAACTGGTAGGTTTCTTTCCTTTGAAAAGTCATATTGTAAACTATTTGCCCTGTGGCATTGGGTTCAAGGAAAAGTTTAATTAGAACTAGCAATTCAAAGTGTCCCATAAACACCTACTGCTATATACAGCATATGGCCAATTCTAATATAAGAAGTCACTTTCATAATTGTAGTAGTAGGGGGGGTCACTTGATACAAACACACTCCAAATGTTGGATTATTAAGCAAATCTGGTACCTTCATGTACACATCAATACAAAGGAAATTAATTCATTTATATAAATATAAAATGACAGGGCATAGTTAAGTAGCATCATTCAGTGTCCTGAATATATAGTACTCAATAAGATATAATACTAAGGTACATCCATCTTGTATATGCTATTTCTATAGCATAACACATATATATACACACACTTTAACATTTGCAATATATTGACTGACCTTCCTACCTGCTCTGTTATATAGTCAATTTATGCACAATATGTTCAGTCTTTACTATGGGAATTTTACATCCAGAAGAGATTTAGAAAATTTTAGAATAAGAAGCAGCAAAGCATGAGCAAAGCATTAGACTCATTATAAGAAGCTTAAGGTACTGGAAATCAAATCCAGGAGACTGGGGTAAATAGAAAGAAGCACAGATAAGAGAGAGAGATCAATACTGGCCATTAGAACCCAATTGTTTACAGCAGATGGAATGTGGAAGTTGCTGCAAGTGTGACTCTTATGTCTGAAGTTTGCCTGTTGCATTAGTTTTCCATATGCAACTGTGAGAACAGGATGCTGGACTAGATGGGCCATTGGCCTGATCCAGCAGGCTCTTATTTTATATGCTAGTCATGTATGCTGTGTGGTCTGATTCCTCATTTACATTCACTCCACAATAGCTGCTACCTATCCTAGTAAAACAAAGGACAACAGAGAATGCTCAATTGAAACTAGACAGTAATTTTAGTTGCTTTAAATTTATTCTGACTGCTTAACTGTGGTCGTTAAAATATCAGCACTTAGGCATAGTGAGAGTAGTTTGGGCATTGTATACATGCCTGTTTACTTTGTCTCCAGTACACTCCTGGTTTGGGAAGTGGCGTGCACATGATGTTTAGCTGCAATTCATATCTGCCCTGTTGTTTCATATACAATGCTGCATTCTGATGTGCTTTTCCCTAAACCAGCTTTGCTCCAAAGTGAGAAAAAGAAAGCCCTAGCTGCACTGTAAGCCATGAACAGGAATTTTTTTTGTCCCAGCCAGAACTCAGTTCTGGCACCTCTCAGGTGGGTGCCGTTGCCATACGAGAACCAGGGAGGTGTTCAGGGTGAGTTCCAGCATCTTTTTTCTATAAAAATAGTGCTAGCCATGAGCAAAGCTTCTTAAATAGCCACTCTCTTGCTTTCCAGGTGCTGCTAGACTCCCAAATCCTATCAGCACTGACTGGTGACAGCAGTGGTCAGGTATAATGGGACTGCAGTAAAAGCTGGAGGACCACCAGGTCCACAGCACTGCCTTAAGGCAATTTCTAGTTCAAGCACCTGAGTGACTATTTACTAAGTTTTCAGCAGAACAAGCCTAATTATTCTTGCAACATTATAAGCAGGAGGTTGTAATTTCAGTTATTTTGAATTAGTCTAGTTTCATGTGGAAGGAAGGTTAACGTGATACAAATTGGCATGGGTTGGAAGGATGTACCTGTTCCTGAATTTCCTTGCAAGCTTGTTCTGGTGGAAGAGAATGCAGAAAAGACCTTGAAAATGTCTCTTTCTGTGTACCTATGCTATTTTAATGTGATGGCACCGATAATTTAAGTTCGAATGGTACTTTATTAACTCTAAAGTTATTGATAAAAAAAAATTAAGCAAAAAGACCATCTATAAAAATGGTGTATAGGGTTCCTTTAGCAAAGCAGAAACCACACCAATCATTTAAAGCTGCTGAGAACCAATCAAAGTAAAATAATAGCTATAGCATCTTTGTATAACATATGGTTTCATATTAGGTGTATGGTAGGGGAATTGGGTTCAAAGAGCACCTAATCATGCTGTTAACAGCAACACACCCAGTTTTTGTTTTTTTTAAAAAAGGAAAAGCCATTTGATAGATTAAGATGGATTGTTGGAAGATGCCTCCCTTGAATAATACTTTTTTTAAAAAAGGTTCTTATTGTGGATGAAATACAAGATTTTTATCAAAGGGTGCAAGGGACCAGCTATTACTAAGTACATTAATGGGCTATGGACAACTCTGCATGTTGATACTTAATTTAAAAAAAAAACAAAAAAAACTTGCATGACAGTTGCTTGTTGCATTTGACAACAGCCATCTAGAGCACCGCATATAATCAAAGCCAGAGGACGTACTGCATAACCAGCTTAAAACACCTATAAATGCCTTCTCAACAATAACTCTCTTCACTTGTTGCACTAAATAAACAGGAGTTACCTAGAATATGAATGGCCTCTACTTTGCCCAAAAGGCTGAAAGCAATCATCTAGTACTGTATGAAACCTATTGAGAATTATAATCTTCAGGCATAACCCATCACAGTTACTAGTACTAACATCCATTGTGAATGCACAGTGATTTTGTAGCAGTCACGACACCCTTTTCAATTCAGAACCTGTATGAAGGCTATTTTTTCTTTAGAAAGCTCACTGTCAAAAATACAAAAACAAAGGCACTAATTACGGGGCGGGGGCACTGCGTTATGTAGTTAATTCAATTGTGTGCCTCAGAACTTTTGCAACAAAAGTTATTGGGGGGGAAACGTAGTGAACGGTCCCTGAATTGCTCCCAAGTACTTTTTTTTAAACTAAGCAGCCTGTCAGACAAGCCGTGGGCATCGTACCATCAAGGTATAAAATGCTGAATGATTAATTACAATGCTAAATACATTTTTATCCCCAGTTACAAATGGAAGTTTCCATAGACTTTTCAGAGAAATTGATTTAGGGCCTACTTACACACTCTAAAAATTCTCCATATTGGACAGCTATATAACCAGAGCCACACTGACAAAATAACATGTGAGTGTTCAGTCATGTTGGTAGGCAAGGTTCTTCTCTGTGGCAATTTGTAAAAAGAAGGAAGCCCAGTGCTACTCAGATTACAAGTGTCACCACTTTTAAATTTATCCTGTAGTATATCTGACTATTTTTAAGGAAGTGCATAGGTAGACCCATACAACACCAGTCTTTGTGCACTTGCTTGCTTGAGGAGGTTAGGCTGCTCCTTGTGACTTGGTGTTAGGCTTCCGATAATCCTTATTCTACAAGAGTGGTGTGAACGTTAGAAGCACATAGCATGCCATGGTAGTTGTGTGAACTTGAGCTAGGGGACATGCACCCTCTGATGCTACAGGAATGAGCAATTACACCTCCTTTGAAGAAAAAGAGGAGGGGACTTTTCTCTCTAAACAACTTCTTGAGTGCTCATGTGGTCAACCTTACATACTACTAAATGTGAATAACTTAATTGGAGCGCCTTCATACCTGCGAAAGCTTGTGCTAAGAACTTCAAGAAAATAACCTATTTCTTCAAAAGATCATGCCAGTGAAGTA